AAGCCAAGAGATGCAACTGTATGATGCATAGAACTAACAAAGACAAATGTACCTTGCGATAAAAGAGCAATAAAATACAGTTAGGTAATAATCCTTAGTCTCAACGTGAAGATAAATTTATATACTTCCATGTGGTACCATTTTCATTGTTCTACCGTACTTCATCAAGAAGTTATGAGGCATCATGATCATCAGACCCCTCCCTCCCTTGTAGGCAAATATACTCGCCTGTGTATAAATCTTTATTGTGAAATATCTTGAAAACTTTAGCCAACTAGTACCTTTACCTGTTTTCTAATCCGTATATGTAAGAATTAGCACATTTTATCTCAAAAGTCGATAATTTCCCAAAATTTGCAGACCAGTATAATACCAGGAAGATCCATGATTAAATTTAACCACAGGAAATAGAAAACTGATCCTAGCAAGCTACAGGAAGACCTAAATTCAAAGACAAAAAGGAGCAATCACTACTGGGAAGACAGAATACAGAAGCTGCATTAAAAACAATCGTGTGGTGATTACCATTTAACTAAAGTATGATTTTCTGGTACACTGTTATAAAGATCATTTTCTACTTTAGTGAGGACAGAGTGGAGAGAAAGGAAGAACAAGAGAAATGTTTAGTTATCTAAAAGCCAATTTTTGATGGAGTCTGGGAAGTCACAAGAGAAAAATACATTCTTTAAGAGGATAGGGGATGCAGTTCTATAGCACCTAGACTACATCTGAGAAGCCGTAGAATATCTGGAATTCCCTTATCCAAATTCAGAGATTGCACTCTAACCTCAAGAGATGAAAACTGGAGCTACAAGTCCCCCTTCTCCTCACAGCTAGGGGGAAAAGAACCCAAGGCAGGAAAGCTGCCTTAACAGAGGAAGAAAAATTGGGTGTTTCAGAGGGGAGTGAAGAGACTAGAACTGCTAGGATACAAGTTTTCCTGAGGCCTTCCCAAGCTCCTTCGCTCCCACTTCAAAATGTCTTTACAGAAAAGCACAGGGAGGCAAAGATCACCCTTACCATTCTCCCACCCTGTGGGGAAGTAAGTCTCTAAGTTAGAGAGCTTACAATTATTGCAACAGGATCATACCTTAAAATTACATGTTTATGGCCACAGAGTCACGTTGGGCTCTCTCCGATACATGAAGAAATTGCCTTTGAGATGAAGCTGCCAAAAGAACAGTGTCTTTCAGATTTCGAAAGTTGTGAGCTAAGAGGATGATCAGGGACATGTCACGAGTGCACAGTGACCTTCCTGTGGGTCTCTATTTTGAGTTTTCAGCTCAGCTTTGCACAAAATGTAAAGTATGGACCTGACATTTTGAAGATGATGCGAACCACTGTCCCATCTCTGTTTCTCTTAAACCATTGCCAAGAGCATCATGCAGCACAAGACTTTCTAAAATTCTGCTATACCTAAATGCAGCTGCACTGATGGCTGCACAAGGTGAAAATCAGCACTGTTACACCGCTGGAAAACCAAAGGCAGCCCAATCCCCTGTATGTTGGCTCAAAAATAAGTGTTTACTCCTATTTTATTCAGTGGAATTCATCCTCAGGTAAGCATGCTCAGGACTGTAACCTTCCCACACACCCCTCTGCAGAAGCAGCTGCACCTTACCCAGCTTTTTGATTTCAGCAAGCCTACGTGCATCTAAAGGCAGGTCAAGAACATCCTATGCACCTCATCTATTACAGGTAAGCAACTACTGGGACATTGCTATATAGATTAGGCAAGCTTATTCAGAAATACGTCTCGGCGTTACTAGAACACAAAGCCGCATGTTTAGACAGGAGAAATCTACGCTTTCTAGCAAGCCCTAGCCAGCCATGCTGAGAGTTGTAGGCCTTTTTTCTGCCAACCTACGTACATAAATCTGCCTTTGGCATCACTGCGTTCTCAGGCTACAAATGAAAGCAGCCGAAGCATCTTGCAAAACCAACTTATTGAGCCGAATCACTCAAGTGTTGACACGTACTACCTTGAAACAGCCTTCCCCAACCCGGTGCTCTCCAGAAGCGGTCGACTGCAGCACTCATGCTAGCTGGGGGATGCTGGGAGCGGTGGCCATGTGGACAGCACCGGGCTGGGAAAGACCGTCTTAAACAAACGGACCTTCAGACATGCAAAGAGCCTAAGGAGGCCCCCTTACTCCTCGCCCGCCCGCCCGCTTGCTAGCTTGCTAGCTAGGTGCTAACACCCCGCCACGGCCTCGCAGCGCCGCCAAGCCTCACGTCTCCGCGCCCTGCCGTGTTTGCGCCCGGCGTTCCGCGTCCAAGCCCGCCCTCCTGCCTCACGTGACCCGCCCGCCCTATCAGAGCAGTGCTTGAGCCGTACACCGCGAGGGCGGGCGGGAAACGGCCTGCGCGAAAGTGTCGCCTCAGGGGCGCTGCCGAAGCCGAGGCTACCTGCGCTGGGCCGGTTGGATCAGTCGGCGGCAGCCTCCGCCGCAGAGCCTCCCCTTATCCGCTCCTCGACCTCGCCTGGGAACGGCACGGCCCGGCCAAGCCGCCCACGGCAGGGCGAGCGCAGCTCCTCCCCCGCCCCGGCGGGAGGCGACGGGGCGAGAAAGGGGCGGTGCCGGGGCGGCGGGCGAGGCTACCCTCGCCCAATCGGCGGCTTCCTCTGCTCCCAGCGCTGCGTTTCGCGGGGCGCGGCGGAGCGGCGGACGCGGGCCGGGCGGCTCGGGTGGCGGCGAGCGTGGTGGCCGAGGCAGCGCGAGATCTCCCCGCGGAGGGTGCCGAGCGCGCAGGCGAGCGGGGCGGAAGGTATGTACGTGTGCACGGGCAGGCGCGCGCCGGATCAGCCGCCGCCGCCGCCGCCGCCGCCGCCCTGCAGCTGGTGTGCGCGGAGGGAGCTCTACGGCGCGGCTGCAAGCACAAAGGCGGCGGCTCCCTTCGGGGAAACAATACAGCGGCGCGATTGGGCGTGCACGGAGGCATGTTGTTTCTGCGGATGACAAATAACAGTAGTAACGAACTCTGCGGCCGGCCTGCCTGCCTGCCTGCCTGCCTGCCTTTCATAAGCTTTAGGGACGCGCGCTGTCTGTCTGTCTGTCTGTCCCTTCCTTCCTAAACAAAGGAGCGTCAGCAAGTTGTCGTAATCCGTGTTGTTCAGTCCGCGTTTCTGCCATGATTGCCCATCATTGCTGATAGTGCTGGAGGTACAAAGAAGGGAATGCTGATCATTCGAATGCACGTGCACAGACGTGGTTTCTAAAACGGTTCAGACGTGCACAGCGTAGGGTGGTTGTATTCCGGTTGAACACGCTTGCTTTGCAATCGGTGGCGTGGGTACTGTGAAAGAGAATAAGATGATTTCCTCTTGCGCGTTCTCTTCCACTGCCCTAATGACGAATACTTGTGCTAGTATGTTGCGAGCTGGAACGGACTTTAAGACGCGTAAATGTAGGTATACACCTGTCCTGAATTATAAACGAACTAATGTAAATGTAGGTATAGACCTGTCCTGGATTATAAACGAACTAATGTGGGAGTTATTTTTTTTAATAGTTGGATATTATTTGCAAGAGACTTTCGGATATCCATGCCATTAAACTAGTCTACTGAGTTTCAGTGGTGCTAGTGCCCCAAATATCTCCAGTTCTATCTTTCTAATATTAAGCTTTGATATACATGTGCTTCATAACTTGCCTTGCTGACAAACTTGGAACAAATGGTAACCTAACGTTGCAGCCTAAGCTTATTTATGGATTAAAGCAGCTTTATACTGCTGCACCTTTGTCTTGTGGATTATGCTCCTATAATCTTTATGGTAATTGCAATTTTCCTTTTCTCTTAGCTGTTGTGTCTTGTTACACCGCATTCTAATTTGGTCTAGTAAGGTAGTTGGGTGTGCACACATCAGAGAAACTTAACAACTTAGTGAATAACTTGTGTAGTCTTTCAAGGGGCATCCTTTATTAGATATGCATTTCTGATTGGTCTGATAAGGAATACGTGTAGGGGGTGACTTTTGCTTTCAAAATTGGCAGCACAGGTGTGTTTACATTGAAGTAAACCCCACAGTGGTGCCCTTCTTCTAGAGAAGCATCCGTAGGATTGCCGCCAGTGACAGAATTTCCACACAGTTTCAATACATAACATAACCTTTCAGGTGTAAATCTCACTGTGTCTTGTTGCAAAACACTATCCTGTTACTTAGTGGATGTAACTGAAATGTTATTTTTCCTATCAAGTTTTGGGAAATTCATCATTTTCTACATTATTTTTCCATCCAAAGCAGGCAACAAATCTGGCAATGGTACTCTGAGCAGAAGCTACCTGGTTAGTCATATAATATCACTTTTGTGTTTACCAGAGCTGCAGAACCTTTTTGACCCAAAGGCCAAATTCTTTTTCAGAGAAACTCTTTTAGTGGTGCTCTGGGCTGGAGGCAAAAGGAGTGAAGGAAAAACATTCTAGCATATCTTATCTTAAAATGCTTTCTTATAGTCACTAAGCATTTCAACCATTCAGAATGGGGGAAAGCTGCACAAAAGCGGGAGATCCGAACAATTGGTGGGTGGGAAAGGGGATGTGTCCATTAAAGGAAACTCAGAGGACAGGCTTTGGTCTCCAATCTGCAGTCTTGATGTACACAGACTTCTTTAAACAATTTTACATTAGAATATTTTAAAATAAGCATTACTTCAAACCATGGCTTTTAATCCTGATTTTTATCTGCTGTCAACCATGATAAACATTTCATACTTTGGTTCTGAATAATGTATTTCTGAGTAGTTCCTCTTGTCAAATAGGAAATTGAAGTTTCCTTGATTATAGTCTTGTGGAACTGCACATAAAAAAAGAACTAGAAAGCATTTTTTCCATGGAGAGACACAGAAATTATTAGCTCTGTTTGTGTAAAGGCAATCATTTAGAAAAGCAACTCCAGTGTCAACTCTTAACATATTTCATATTTTTGTTGCCTTGGAGCCAATGAAGGTGTTACTAGAAATCTGTTGTCTTTCAAAGCACTTCCATAGGCTGAGCCATAAATATTGCTGCGAGGTCAGAATTGATCTCCTTGTTAAAAACTGAAATACTGTGACTTCAGGGAATTTTGCAGTGCAACAAAAGTAAGATTGAAGTTTGAGAAGCAAGAATTTGGAATGCTTCATATATCGTCTTAACTTAAAAGGCGCTAAGGGGATTTTCTGCAGCAGTTATTTATAATGGCCACTCTCAGTTGGTCAGTAGTATCTAGGATACAATTAATTTTCCTGACAAGCATCCTCTTGTTCTGACAACATTTTTTCTGCAATATTTTCCAGAATCATTTTAAAAAATGAATGTCGGAGTTGCCCACAGTGAAGTCAATCCCAACACAAGAGTAATGAACAGCAGAGGGATGTGGCTCACGTATGCTCTTGGAGTTGGCTTGCTTCATATTGTTTTGCTCAGCATTCCTTTCTTCAGTGTTCCAGTTGCCTGGACCTTAACCAACATTATTCACAATTTGGTAAGCATCCTGCATTGTAATTGGAGTGGGTGGGGGAGGCAATACTGAAAGTAAGTTTTTACAGAGAAACAAAGGAAAATGGTTTTCCCAAGAAATAGTACACAGACTGCCCAATGTTCTCTCTTGAACTTAGTCAGAACAAAATTAAATTGGAAAGCATCCTTCTGTTTGCGAGATCATATTCCTTAGTAATGGTTAATATGTTTTTTTTTTCATCAAGGTAATAGGAATGATAGGACTTTATTTGGTTTTCTATTAAAGATTAAGAATGTTGAAATAGAACTACATATCCTTATCCCAAAATTCTTGATGTGCTTAATATCCTATGCATATTTAGACAGAAATAAATGTTACAATTCCCACCATGTCTGATCCAGCATGACTAGCTGAAGGGTTGCTGGAAGCTGTAGAACGTTCTCAATCTAAAAATGCATAGGATTATGCCTTTAGAAGAACTTTTATCAGAACTCTGGAGCAGCAGTAGCCGCTTTAGCCTGGGAGGGTTGGATTCTCTCCACCCAAAAGCATAGGGGTTAGACTCTCACTCCTAGAGATGACACTGCTGCCAACCCCAGGCACTTGGCTAGGAAGAATCTAGAATCTTTACACATTCCCATGGCCCACTTCCTGGCCAGCTAATATGTGTCTCTCTCTCGGGAAATTACCCCAGGTATCCCATTCTTTGAAGCAAAGAACATATGCTGCTAAGTGAAAAGAAGATCTTTCTGTACTGTGTTTAACCCAGCTAGCCTCTTCTCCAAGCCTAATAGGATTAACTTCCATTAAAGATTTCTGCAGAGGAGTTTTGAGTCTTGCGCATAACTGCAGATTTGGCTTTAATTTCCCCAAAATTACTTAACTGTTGGATATGACTGTACTACTTAGGATACTGCTTGGTGCCACTAGTAAGCATTTTCCTCCCTTCCTTCCTTTATCAATTTGTATACCTTTTGCTGTATCTAAACATATCCTGGAACAGTTTACAAAATGAGACATTACAACTTCATAATAGATGTAAATACTGTACTTATAACGAAAAATTCAAGACACACCAGTTAGCAAACGTGGCAAAATTAATCGGGGAAGGCCTGGGTAAGGAGATGTGTCTTGGCATTGCATAAAATGGCTGCCAACGCAAAGAAGGCCTATTTCCAGGTTGCTGGCAGATGGCAGTCTGCAGGTCATAGCACCCCCAGCGAGGCCTTAATTGACCTGTCTGAGTACACGGCCACTGTAACCAACTACTCCATTTTCGAAAAGCATTGTGAGGAAATGTTCCTTAGGGAGCTGAATTTGCTCTACTTTTTCTGGTTTTCAGAAAAAGTCCACCAGTGCAGGAACCACCATCCCAATTGGGGTCTTCCTTGCCCAGTAACTCCAAAGCAGGTAGAGTCAGCAGAGGTTCTGTGTACCGTAGTGACAGTGAACTCTAAATAACATAGCTTGCCTTTCTTCACAGGGAATGTATGTGTTCTTGCATGCAGTGAAAGGAACACCTTTCGAAACACCTGACCAAGGTAAAGCAAGGCTTCTGACTCACTGGGAGCAACTGGACTATGGTGTGCAGTTTACTTCATCACGGAAGTTCTTCACAATCTCTCCAATAATTTTGTAGGTATTTTAGAAGTTCTACTATGGCAGTACTTATACAGTTTGAAGGATTTTTACACAATAATATTTGATAGGGCAAGTCAGTATTGCAAAGGGAAATTTAAGCTGCAATTCTGTATATAATTAACTGGAAGTATATGCTAGTGAATTCCATGGGACTCACTTCTAAAGTAGTTGTGCACAGGATTGACTGTTAATGTGTGAAATCTAAAGAAAGGCATGTCAGTTATGTTTTATTTTCATGGTTCTGTGAGTTGAAATGAGTTTTTAAAGCAGGGCAAAATGCATTTTTCATGTAATGATGACTTCTGAAATGGAAGTACTAGCTTAATATCCTATACATTTCCTGTTCACTTACTAGAGAAAGACATTTTGCAGAACTTGAATCCCTATGAGAAGAAATTAATAGGGTTATTATCATGTTACATTTTCCAGCTTTAGTTCAAAACATAAGAGCCATATTTCAATAGCTCATGGAAGATTCTTAAGTGGTTTGTATTACTGAATTGGAATCATAATACTGCAGCTTTCCATTCTACTGATAGGAATACTTTACTACGAAACATAATAGCAACAGCTAATTAAGAAACATGACAGGACTCCAAAATTGCAATTTTGTAATTGCATGATATTGAAGGTCTATTTGGCTCTCTGAATAGAAATAGAGGACCAACTAAAAGCTATAGAAATATCTGAGATGGAAGATTTATCTGCATACCTGGTGGATAGAATGTAGCATTCCTTTGTATTCTAGCCATAAAGGAAAGCACAAAGGACCAGGGCTGCGGTGCCATGCATATTTGGGAGCAAGTCCTGCTGAACATAATAAGAGTTTGAATGTTGCTTTGTGGTGCAGAAGCATGCTTCTGCTTGTGCAATGGAATTCCCCTACCTTTCCCTTCCCCTGCATATCTTCAAAATCTGCTCTGGAGATTCCTAGTTCCCTATGTCATCCTGCTAGTGTATGTACATGAAGAAACTTGTGTTTTGGCTTCCTACAAATCTCATTTCTGTTCCCTGTCTTAAGATGAAAGCATCAGTGGTGTTGAGGACTCCTAAATTAATTTTCCTTTGATCTAACCCCAATTATTTTTAATTTCATATGATGCAATATCAGCCTATGGTATTTTGAATCCAAGTCAAACTTCCCACAGGCTTATAAATGCAGTTGCTTGTTTTATTAGATATTAAGTACTGCAGGCAAGCACTGGGTCATAAAACAACATCTCTATTCTGAAATGAGTATGATGCAACCCCAGAATGTGGTTCACAGGCCCTGAATTGTAGGGATCTGTCCACTGGCAACTCTGTGATATCAGTGCATTCTGAAGAAACCTAACACAGCTTGCACAGATTCTATGAAACTGCAGCTTTTCCCAACCTGGTACTCTCCAGGTATTTAGAACTTCAACTCCCAGTAGCCCCAGCTAGCATGGCCAATGCTGAGGAAAGCTTGGAGTTGTAGTATAGAACATCTAGAAGGTAACCAGTTGGGAATGTATTTGTTTATGTATTTTATAAGCCTGACATAGTGGTTTAGGTAGGCTGAAGTATTTTGGGGAGGCTGAAATAGTGTTTTAGGTAGCTATCATTTAATTAGCATAGTGTTGAAAGCATGAGGTTGGTGTCCCCATTTTAAATCACTGTTCATCTGGAAATTCACCAAGTGGCTACAGGCAGGCCATTGTCTCTTAGTTTCTGCTTCTCTTGTAAGAACTGTTGAATTTATTTAAAGTACATGATAAAAGTGTTTCATACTAAGAGTATAATGCAGCCAAAGTTCAGCATTTCTAAAACTGATTGAACACAATGAGATGGCCAAGTGCTGACTTTGGCTGGATTGTCCCAGTGTGTTAGGCCATACTCTGCTAAGATTCAGGAACTTTTATTTCATTGATAAAAGTGTTCATGGTTCATAAACACATTTGTTCTACCACTGAGCCATGGGTCACCCCAACATACACATCAGAAACTAGAGGGAATATCAAGGAGCTCTAGAAATGTTTATCTTGGGTGTGTGTTACAAGGAGAGAAGTCAACAGGTCAATGCCACATTTGCTTCATGTTTCTAACCAATGAAGAAAGCTGTTATTGCACATCAGGCATTTGAAACACACTGCTAAAATTCCCTGTAACATCAAGGCAATTGATATATTAAAATGAACAGCAGTAATAGCAAATACTTTTTCTCATCCTTTTTTCAGTGGGCAGATCGTGAGGCATCCGTGGCATGCTTTGTAACATTTTGTGTTGAGCTGATAATAAGCTGAGTTAGAAACACAGACTTTAAAAGGAGTTGTCAGAAGTGTTAATGACTATTCTGACAATCGCATCGCCCTTTTCTTTGCTCCTGTGCTTTCCATCAACCTTATTTTTAAAGCCTATCATTTCAGATTAAATAACCATATATGTTTTGCAGACCATGAATCTTCAGCTGTCTGTACAAAACTATTCATTTAGGCTCACCAGGATCTTTTAGTGAGCAATGATGTTTTTGAGAGTGGATATTACAGTGTTGTGAAGCACTAAACAAAGCATCTAATTTCCTGGAAGGTGTTATGGTTTTATACCTATGGATATTTTGTGGTATTGGTGCTATTCTTTGGTAGTATTTTCCTGAATGCTTTGTCCAGTGGAGGACAACCTCCAGGGCCTAATCCCTGCCTGTCTAGAGTTGAATGCCCTCTGTAGACTCTGCTTTCTCTAAGGCATTTCCACTGAGGGTAAGTAACACAAAGGGGAATCCATTAGCTGCAGATATCAAAATAAGCCAGAGAATCCCCTGCACCAATTTGCATGCCACTCACATCTCATAGTCTATTCATTACTGAGCTGTTAACATTGTAGTTTTACATTTCCACTTTTCTAAAGAACTGTCTGTCTTTTTGCCCTGCCTCTAATTTTTCCATCTATGTTTACCTTTTGTTTTGTTATGTTTTCGTTTTGTTTTCGCAGATATTTCCTTGCAAGTTTCTATACAAAATATGATCCGACACATTTCATCTTAAACACAGCTTCTCTCTTGAGTGTGCTTATTCCCAAGTTGCCACAACTGCACGGTGTCCGAATCTTTGGAATCAACAAGTATTAAGCAAGAGATAAGAGATAGGAGTACTCTGACCAAGACGTGGCATGACTGTTTGTTTTTCCTGGGCAGAAGGAATAGCTTCTCAATGCTATTTGTCTAGTAAGCATCCGTGAGACTTTCTCTTCCTAAGATGTAAATGTTCTTTCAGAGCTGTGTGGGAGAGAATTTGAATGATATATCTTCAGATAACAGATTTTCTAGAAAGAGCTGGGCAGGCCCAGCTTTATTATATTAGCAGCATTGACAGGATATACTGAGGTAACAGACGCATTGGAAAAAGGAGTATGAATAATTTAATTGAAACATGGACATAAATATGACTGTTATGGTAATGTAAAGTGCATTAGAAGTGGGGGGGGACCCCAAGTTTCTAGTAAACAGATTGGTATGATTGAAATGCTGTAAAGTTGTCTGTTACTGCTTTTGGATGGTGCTTTTATTTTTGCTATTTCTGGATCCAGGATTTCCTGTCCAGCTGCAGGTGTTGCTAGGTTAACATTAAACCAGCAAGTCGCTGTGTCTTGATTCATAATGGATTTCACACCTTATCTATTCATGTGACCTTTAATCACAATGACTTCTCCAGTTTCAGATGTCAAAAGCTCAGGGGAATGATCATCAACTTTTTTATACATTTAAACTGATCTGCATTTTCCTTGTTTTCCAAACAAAGCAGTTTATTCAAAAAGCTTCATTCAAGTATATCTGAAAATTATAAACCTGTTTTCATTGCAGAACTGGGCTGCTTTCCATATTGACTGGGTTGTCCTTTGATAGTTGGGTTCATGAGGAAACCGAAACGGAGGCAAATCTACGACTAGATGGTTCATTAAACAAGAGCCTTACTTTTTTTCTCTTAGTAGAAATATTGTCTCACATGATGCTCAAACACCATGCAGAGCATAATACATTGTCATTTTATCAAATGTCTGCACTTAAGGTTAAGAAATTTAGGGTGCAATCCTATGTATGTTTAGGCAGAATGAGGTCCTGCAGCCCCCAACCACAGAGGACAATGGAAGTTGTGGAAGGGCTTGTTTTCTGTCTGAAGCCATATGGGCTTGCACCCTTAGTAGTTTTTCCCCTTGTGCTTTATATCTGAAGATACTGAGCATTTCAGAAGGTAGTTAGGAATTTAATCCTTGGTATGTTTCAGTAAAAAATGTTCTGCACCTCCAGCCAGCTGAGAGTTGTAGGACTCCTTTCCATCTAAATGGGCATGGGACTGCACCCTGTGCTAGCCTAGCTGACGAGTTTGCTTGGCAGAGGAGCGTAATCTTCCATTAACTGAAGAATATTTTATCTTAAGAGCTTTGTGGTTCTAGTTTCACTTTTGGGTACTATAATTACAGCTTGGGGTCAGTATGCAGACTCCAGAGAGCAAGGGATGCGGCAAGTATTTCTTGGAGATGATCTCTTGTATGAATCCACAGATATATATGTATCGAATTTAATCAGGACCGCCTGTGATTTACTGATAACAAGAGGACTGTTACTGTAATTCAGACTGCTGACATTGAACTTTGTCTTCAAGCTGGTAGCATTTAGGCCCTCAAAATAAGAATTGACTATTTTCAAGATACTAGATTTTGTCCTGTTCTTGCTCTCTGAAAAATGTCCCTTTTGATCAACAGCAACTTTTTAAATAAATTGAACGACTTTGAAAATGATCGTATCAGTATAGTATATTGTAAATGCAGTACATGGCGTAACGAGTTGCTATGCTTTTGTAAATAAAATTAAGGTGCAGTATTTTGCATGTTTAAATAAGAAGCCTATGGCTCCTACTACTTCCTAACTAGCATGCTGGGAGCTGTAGCTCTTTCTTTATCTAAATATGCATAGGATTTCACCCTGTGTGGATCTAGTGTTTGAAACACTGCACACAGTGTAAGAAGAATGCTTTTCAACCCTTATATAAGGCATTGATGTTTTTGGGGAGGGGTGTCTATCTTCTGGCATTTCCCCCTGGCAAATCTAGTTTAGGTGATTTACTCCAATTATAAAAAATGCCTGAGAGGCTTTTCATTTATTTTTTTTAAAAAGGACTATTCCAAGAACCGCTTCATTTTTTATTCTGCAAGTTTACACCCAGGTTTGATCTTGCTAACTCTGGTTCGATGAATGTGATTAACTGCCTCTTACATGGCTAAGGAGGTAGAGGTTGCTGTGCGCCTGGACTCCAGTTCCTAAACTCACTTGTGTTTCTGCCTTTCATTTGCAACTGTTCCCAAGAATGAGACAAGTGGGTAAATCAGTGTCTTTATTTGGGGTTGTCTTCTCCATTTTCAGCAATGCCTGGTTTTTGATTGCACACACTAATGAAATGAAACATTACCTTGTTGACATTGCTCATCCGTTGATGTCCAGCTGAGCTCTGTCCAGCGTCTACAGTGGGGCCTGATGGGCTGAACACAATACATACAGTCCATCACTTCCTGAGTTAAGAAGCGCCCCCATTGCCATATTGTTATTAAAAGATTTATCCACTTCCCAAAAACTTAATCCGATCCTTATCTCTTCATAACATTCCATATGTTGTGCTTCACTCATCTATCCCGTAACGAGACCCCAGTTTCTGGAGTAAAGACTGAAAAGCCTGTTGAGCTAATGTGGGAGTTAAGGACCCTTGTCCTGCACTTGACTAGTTCATCTAAAGAGCCATTTAAGACTAAAGACCCTGTACTGCAGACCAGCTTTCTTCAACATGGTATCCCCCAGATGTTTTGGACTACAGTTCCCCCAGGATTCCTGATCATTGGCCATACTGGCTGGGGCTGATTGGAATTGAATTCCAAAATATCAAGAGGACACCACATTGGCAAAGGCTGATGTAGTTAACTGCTGGAAAGTCCTGTTTTGTGATAAGTAATTGTATAACATTTAAATGTTTAAATATGATACACATTCTGAGAGTTTAATGAATATTTTATTTTTGCTTTAATACATCAGAGAATTCATTTTGCAGTTATTTGGCAATAGTACCACAATTGGGTTTGCAACTTGAACAGTTAAAAGTTAGGGTACAGACATATACATGTTTAGGCAGAGCAAAGTTATCCAGTTCCTAGAATTCTTCAGTCCGTATGGGATTGCACACTTGATGGAGGAATTAATCCCAGCGAAACTAAAATGGTGATAGAGAAACTGTGAGTAAAATTAACTGGTCTTTTTAGATTAGCAAGTGTGGCATCAAAAACAACTAATGATAACCAAGGGCAAAGTGACTTTACACGTAGAATTGGCTTGGACTTTGAAAAGAAACTGACTCATCTTGCCCAAAGCTTCGAACATACACAGCTTCATACAGTTCTGAAAATCCATTTGAGCTTACCTTAGCCTATGGCATTGTTTGAATGCATGCCTAAATCTTTCAGTTTGACTATATTGGGACCCATGGCAAATCCCGTTTAATTTCAGTCCACTTTTAACCCTGATGGTGTGATTCATAGTCATATAGCTTTTATATAATGGATGAGGGTTCTAAAAGGAATTTCTATAGTTGCGCATATATACATGACTACATTTGATGCAAAATGCTGAACAGTAGAGCGAATGCAGAGCAACCTAGTTTGTCTTCTGTTTTAACAAAACAGGCATTCCTTTCCCTAAAAGGAATAGCAAGGGGAGGCAAGAGTAGAAAAGAACAGGAGAATCTGAGTTGGTAAGGACATTATAGCCATCTAGTCTGACTGCCTGTTGAAGTAAAACCTGCTACAGCATCTCTAATAGGTAGCCATCCAGCCCCTGCTTAAAAGCCTCTTCTAGGGAGCCCACCACCATTGGTGGCCATCTGTTATGCTCTCGAACTACTAATAGCTAGGAGAGTTTCATTTAGGATCTTGAAACAATGTCTGATATCTTTGACTTATTAAAATTAATTTATTTACATTTACACCCCACTTACCTGCTAAAAAGCCATCAAAGCAGTGTGTAATCGGGAGTAAACCCCACTGAATTTACTGGATTGGATGCAGAGTTTTTATTTCATCGCGGGAGTGTTCCCAAGTGGAGGTCTAACTCAGAGCTCTACCACTGGTGGAAAGGAAGAGGCAATCTTTGCTGGTTTCCTCTTTGTAGATCCGACGCAACTCCATTCACAGTCTCCAGATGTTCTCTTTCATAACCCTTTTAACTTCTAATAGCAAGCCAGTAGATTGCAGAAAGAAGAGTAATTGCTGGGTGCTGCGGGTATCAAATTAAAACGAGTATTCATAGCTACATTTTTAAATAAAGCCCAGCTTTTGTCCAGATCTGTCCCCATCCTGCACACGTCAAACTTTTAAAAGTACCATTTGCACTGGGGACTCTTATATTTATTCTTTATTACTTTTATGTGGTAAGAAAAAAGATGGGAGAAGTGATGGGAAAGCGCTGCAGATGGCATAAAACTCTGAAAGAGATGGGGCGATGCCAAAAGAAAAGATCCACGTGGAAGCATGCAATTACTTTTCAGCCTCGGCACTCTTCCTAGATTTCAATTAAGAGTTTCTCCCAGAAACAGTGGGGTGGGGGGAGTATTTGAAGAGCAGGTATATAGTGTGCGATAAATCTCACTCCTACTGCCTCGAAAACCAAACTAGAAATGGTCTCAAACTCAAGTTTTCTTGCAAATGGTAAACGTGGTTGTGTATATTAAACCTCGAGCAAACGGCTGAAAATGCAATCCATATTGTTAGAGGGAGGTGGAGACGTGCTGCGGAGGTAAACAGTTCACAGGAACCCTGCAACATAGTCCGTGAAATACTAAGGGTATACCTTTCACAGCATACTCTTCCGCCCTGCAGTCGAGTGTGAAGCAATGCTTTGAACAACCCTGTGGTGGAAGCTCGACCTATCTCACCGTGGTCGCCTTTAGCCTCTGACTCTTGAGGGCCAGCATCTCCCGTGCAAAATACAACTCGGATTGCCGGAGGAGATGGTTCCATTTAGACTGCTCCTGCCCCGCCCCCCAAACTGCCCTTGTTACATGCAAAAAGCAAAGGTAGCCAGGTAGGCCATGAAGAAAGCAACACAAAAACCCATAGGAGCACTATGTTTTTATTAAGCCAACAAGAAACGCGGGCAAACTTAAGGTCTCCCGATCTCAAAAAGCAAAGGCGGTAATCAGATGAGCAGGTCGAGCTCGCAAAGCGACAAGATGCGCTCCGCTACCGTCTCTTGTGCTCCCGCCACGGGCTCGCCGCTTTCTTCCCGTTTACCCCCCCCCACAAATGAGATTGGCTCGTCCTAGGCCACGTGACGCTTGGCAAGGACGGGCGTGATCCCAAGCGCCATCTTGCCCGATTAACTTTTGTGGCGAGAAGGGGAGAGGCGTGGCCATTTCGTGGACGCGGCCCCCTGGGCGGGCCCAGTGAGAGCCGGAGGGGGCCCTTGAGAAGACGCGGAACTGTGGACTGGGACTGAGGTAAAGCCACGCGTGCGGCATTTGCTCGATATGGAGAGCTGGCCTGCGCAGTTGATAATCCGCCAAACCAGGAGTAGGGAGCGTGTGGCCCTTCAGCGGTTCTGACCGACTACTCCCAGCATCCCTCACTGTCAGCTCTGTTTGCAGGGGCTGATGGGAGTTGTAGGCCAAAAATGCCAGGGCAACCCAAGCGGCCGAGCACTGTGCTAAAATGAAGCGCAGCCAAGAAGCCATGTGGATGGTCGAACACGAGCTGCATAGCAATCTCGCACAACCCCGGCTTTCTTAGTCGGTTGAAAATAGATGTGCAGAGGGGCGGCCTTACGAGTCTGTTGCAGCCAAAGCATCGTAGAAGCTTGTTCACAGCTCTTGGAGCGGCGATAAGCACATCGGTGTCTTTATGCCAAAATAAGTGCGTTAGTTTTTGTCAGGTGCCTCAAGACTCTGGGTTGTAGGAACGCAAGCCAAACTTCATTCAGCCGTTGATGATGGTTCGCGGGGCGACTAGCATGCTACACCTTGCTTTGTGGGTTGCAGTTGGTTGGTTAAAATATTTTTTGAGTCGTCCCTCATCCTTACAGATTTTAGAGCAGTGTACAAGAGCGTGACCAAAATTAGTCATCGCGAATAGAAGGTACTTTCAAACAGTAAAAGCACATCGTTGAAAAGTTGACCAATCAGCTGTTGGAATAGAGGGTCATAAATAGGACAGCATTTTTAATGCCAAATGCTGAAATGGTTGCTCAGGTTGTGCAGCTCCAGCCAATTAACAAGCAGTATTGAAACCTCCCCTGTCCCCAACAGGAAAGTGCTTTTCTATGGAAAACGTTAATGCAATGTAATTGTGTTTACTTTGAAGTAAATCATAATCGGGATGAATGGTGGGTTTCCCAAGAAAGTTTCCACAGGATTACAGCCATTTCCTATCAGATACAGGGCAATTTCAGCTGTGGTAAATTCTGTCTTTGGAATTTCCTCCATAAGGAAGCTTGCTCAGAACTGCTGCCATTTGTAATTCTCCCATGTTTTCCCACCACTGCTTGAGTCTTTCCCTCTTGCAGAAAGGGTCTTTCAGGTGGAGAGCTCCTAGTACCACCTGTACTGCAGCTATTTTGTATGTAAAAGATAAGATGAAAGAAGCAGTGGGGAAACATTAGAGGACTACAAATTGAGGACGGCTCCTGGAACTGCCATAACATTTCATGAAAGCAACCTTGCATAACATAAACCTACAATGTAATGCTACAAATCTGATTTTTGGGAGACAGGTTCACAATGCATTGCTGATGCCTCATTGAAAACTTTAAAGCCTAGGAAAGAGGAATAAAGGATGACCACACTTGCTCATGTTTCATTCAGCTTTTTTTTTTCTTTTATGTAATCAATCTATCAATAGAGTTTTGTTCCATTATATAAATCTTTTATTGCTTAGAAGAATTGGTTTCTAAATCTTTGAAGGCATCAGTTAAGCTAGAATTTTCTTAATCCTTGTTACGAACCACCTGGTTAGGATTTTATTTATTTATTTATTTTTCGATTTATATCCTGCCTTTTTCCTACAAAGGGCTCAAGACAGCTTACATCTCTTCCTCCATCTTATCCCCACAACAACCCTGTGAGGTAGTTTGGGCTGAGAGTCTGGGACTGGCCCAAAGTCACGCAGTTGGCTCCATGGCTGAGCGGGGACTAGAACCCAGGTCGCCTGAGTCCCAGTCCCATGCTCTTATTCAGAAAACATCTTCTGCAAACACTTTACTTGATTCATTGTTTATATCCCTTAATATACCCATTCGTTCATAAAATGGAGATGGTTACAAACTCCAAGATTCATTCACTTGATCACTTCCTATGACTTTAGCCACTTTTGAGGCAATCTGTGTCGACTTCCGACTCCAAATGGTATACAAAGGGGCAGTGTTTTGAACACTGATGACATGCATGGAATTCCAGATAGTTCAGCTTTTGGCACACTACTGAGATGGTGCTTTCTTGTTTGCAGCATGTTGGAAGCCAAACTGTGCATCATCAGAATTCACACGTCTCCTTAAGGTGGCATCTGTGATGGTCAGTCAGCACCAATGACCTGCAAACTGGCCCTTATGCCTAGTCCTGTTCCTGGCAAAAAAAAGAAAAAGCAGCAGAAACCTAATTTTCTGTTAGTCATGGTATCTCACTATACAGTAGTGTCTGGGATTGAAGATCTTGTGCTCCTCATATGAGAAGAACAGGATTCCACTCAACATTATATGAGTGGAGTTCTTGACCAGGGGGACTTGCCCTTCTTTTTCTTCCCCTGCAGCTTCCCGTACCCCAAACCTGCTCTGTAGGGTTCCCCAACCCTCTGAAGCAGACTTGGGGGCGTGCAGCAGGGAAGGGAATTCATTTTAACAGTGATGTCTATTCTGAGTCACTGTTGGATGCAATTTATGAGATTGAAGTATTAAATGCTCCTTTATGAGAATGCACCAAAGGAAACACATTCTTTATTTCAGATGTTTCCAACTTTGTTTATCCCTCTGTCTTAGGAGGCTGTGAAATGTGAAGTCTGAATTGGGAAAGTATAACAGAAAGAGGCTATTTTGACACCATGTTTTTGACACAGGTAAAAAATAATTATTTCCCATTGCGGAATCATTAGCTTTTGCCTCCGTATGATTAACCACTCCAGTTTATTTAAAAAATGACTTAGTTTAATGAATGAGAAAAGAGTAATTTCATATCAGCTTTTGAACTTTAGGATGATTGCCCTTCTAAGCAAAGTTTGTTTTTTTCCCAAACAGTATGGTAGAATTTATTCCAACTGCATTAGTCTCAGGCCTTTGCACATCAGGAACTGGTCAGGATTTTAAAAACCAACAGCTGTGGAAACCATTAGCCACATTCCTTGTAGTACTCACAACAACAATTCTTGTGGTATCAGGAAGGATTGTATTTGTTCTAATACCAAATAATTACTATTAGATATTGCCCTGAGTTCAAAGAAACTGATTTTCTTGTAACTTGCAGGAAAGACTTCTTGTTCCTCTCAACAAATGCACAGTATTTTAAGGCCTAAAATATAGTTTGATTTAAACCAGGTTTGGATAGAAATTGAACTCTCATTTGGAACCCTGGCTTTGATTCCAAGAAGAAAAGTAAAGATCTTATCAGTAGTTATGTGTCAAAATCTGACTTGAGAGGTGGCAAATTAATAGACAAAAAATTGTATAGGCTCATGCATAAGGAACAGAGGGTTTAAAACAACGATGGTAATCAGATAAATTTCATAACATGTGCAACTAATGAGTGAAATCCAGTGATTTCTGTCCATTAGCAGAATGTCTTCCAGGTTTTTGAAGTCTTCTCATGCTTTGCTGCATATAACCCAATATATGCATTAGAATTTGGAGGTCTTATATTATTGTATTGAAACATTAGATCCAGTGTGATCTCTTGAGAGCAGAACATAGGAGGTTGATGCTGGCAATTCTGATTTTAGAGCTAGTCATAAACTCAGCCAGGGATCTAGTTTTTTAGCCACTGTTTCTTAGACTTAGTTCCACATTAACAGAGAAGGGTGGTAGTACTAATTCCAGGGGTGTTTCACGCATATGTCCTGGCCTATAGTTAAAACATTGATTGTTAGTGCACATGAAACACATCTCTGCATGAGGCTGATAGAAGAAAACCAGTGCCTGGATTTGGAGGGTGGGCTGGGGAGCTGTATGCATGTGTATATGTTTACACATGTGCATGCTGTTTGCCTTATCCTGATCTTCAGACCTCCAGGATCAAGAGATAGCTGTGTATTTCTTTGAAGCCATGTTGTGGAGCACTACCATACCACTTCATACTTGCCTTTATCCCCTGCCAACAGGAGGTTAGTAATGGCAGATTTCACCAGCGCATGATAGGGTCTACTAGGTATTACATTCTAAATTTCATTTTTGTACAGTTTTTTTCTAGGCACACCTGTTTACAGAAATCTTTAATAGCAAGCAGCCTCGGAGAAATAATTTCAAAATGGTGCTGGAGTGATTATTTAAGAAGAACGTCTGCTTGCTATGGCAAGTGTTTCTCTACTAAAGTAGTTCTGGGAATAGAAACTAGCTGTGATGATACAGGAGCTGCAGTGGTAGATGAAACTGGCAACATTTTAGGAGAAGCTTTGCATTCTCAAACTGAAGCTCATTTGAAGTAAGTAAGTCTTTACTATTGGTGAATGTACCTTTGTGCTTTTTTTTTTTTTTTTGGTCATGCTTGACCATCATCCTTTGAGAGTGACGGACAAGCCAAAAGCCAGAAACCTCTCCATAATGGACCATGTATCCAATGAACTGTAGTCCACAAAAGTTGAAATTGGTTAGTTTGCCAGGTACTTCAAGGTGCTGTTATTTTTATTGTAATAGACTAACTTAGCTTGCCTGTAGAGATAATTTATAAGGAAATACCACAAATCATTTAAGCATAGAGATATAAAGCTTTCAGAATGTTAGAAGCCATGAGAAGAAACCCTTTTCTGGGGGGAAAAATGACATTTTGAGAAAAATGGAAAAATATGCAATGTTTTTTCAGTTTGTTGTTTTTGGCACTCTTTAGACATCAAAAGTAACATTGGTGCTCTAAGATAGCTTCCTCAACCTGGTGTCCTTACTTTGGACCTCAACTCCTGTCAGGCTCAGGCAGCATGACTAATGTTCAGGAATGTTGGGCATTGTAGTGCAGAAGGGCACCAGGTTAGGCAAGGCTGGGTTAGGAACATGAACAGCCTTCATGTTCCTAAAGTATGTATAACTAGGTTTGCTATACTGAAAAACTTGTAAACATTTGATTGATTGATTTATATCCTGCCTTTTTCCTGCAAAGGGCTCAAGGCAGCTTACATCATTCTCCTCCTCCATCTTATCCCCAGAACAGCCCTGTGAGGTAGGTTGGGCTGAGAGTCTGTGACTGGCCCAAAGTCACCCAGTTGGCTCCATGGCTGAGTGGGGACTAGAACCCAGATCGTCCAAGTCCCAGTCCCATGCTCTTAACCACTACACCACACTGGCTCTCTGTAAATTCAGTAACTCAGTAAATTTGTTGTCATTGTCTGTATAAACTGTAAGTTTAGTATACCAAACAGGATAATCTTTAGCAAACCAAATTATGCATAAAATAATTTATGGTCCTGTTTAATGTGTAACTAGAGGGAATATCAGTAAGGAGTGCTCGAAGGATCCTTGGGACCAGAAGAAGTGGGAAGAACTGGAGGGAAAGGAAGAGTAGTGTACAATATCTGTTCCTGTTTTTAAGAAAATGTAGGGAAATTCCTAAACCTGTTGCTGTTTCTTGCATGAAATTTACGGTCATCTGGTCTGAAGGAAAAACTATTGTGATTTTATTTAACTGGAAAGACTTAGCTTAGAAATGGTAAGCCTATTTAATTAAAGGATGTTTATGCAATCTCATATACTATTATTTGAAGAGTGACATTTTATTCACCTTTGTAAATGCTTTCATTAATGAATATCTAATTTCCTTGGTAGTTTTGAAATGAGCTCTCTCAGTCCCTTGCTTATGTCATAGGAACCAGGCCACTGAGTTTCTTTTAAGCAGAGAGTGTTTCTGCAGTGGTAGCTGTTAAATGGTGTTACGAGGCAAGATTCACTAGTGATGATGTCTAAAAATTTATTTAAAAATTGTGTCAGTGAGCTCTACAGAGTTCTAGGACTTAAAGCTGATTTTAAAAAGGGGGTAATAGAACTATATTAATTTTACTGCTGTAGCATCTAGCCAGAACACAGGATGCTATAGAACAAAACCTAAATTGTCAAGAATGCACATTTACTTCCATATCATGACATGATGTCTCTGTTCACATGTTGGGAAACGAAGCATGACTTATAGCATCCATAAATTTCCAACAGTAAATTATACATTATATCCATAGCTTTAATAAGGAATAGAAGAAACTATGCTGAGAATCTTGGAGAAAGGATTTAAAAAAAATTCTACGGCTTCATTATTTCCAGATGTTTAACATCTCTAGTCTTTCTGTAAAAATATTACATCAGTTTTAGAAATCATTTTGAGTGGAGTAGTGGCTGGATAATGATATATGAACACTTTGTCTTAATTTCTAAAAGAAAGTATTTCAATCAAAAACTGTTTGGTTTTTTTTTCCAGTTTTTCAGGGGAAAAAATCTGGGTTTTGTTCCACCCAATTTTTTTGTTTTTCCCTCTGGACTGTACATCTTAAGCAGTAAAGCCCTGAAAGAAAGTGTTACACTGTGTCTTCAAGAGGTTTATGTTCAGACTTTTAAAAGGTCTTCAGTGGAGAAGGATTTCATATAAGAAAGCAAATAAAAATGCTTCAGTTTCAGTGCACTTAGATTCAGCCATTATTAAACTAAGCATGCACTAAACGTGTGCAACCTTATCCAAGAGGGGAACCAAAAGGATAGAGCTGGGTGCCCACCACATCCTTAGTTAAGATGTCTGCCCAGAAACCTCTGATAACGTTTTGCACAGGAAGGTGATGAAGCTTCCCCATGGGTAAGAGCCTAAAGTGGGGGTTGGCATCTTCGCTCAGGTCAAGCGGCGCATTGGGATATTGTCCACCTGCCCTATACTCACGTTTACATAGACTCCCCCATCCCCTATTTTTATTGCAGAATAGTGGAGTCAGGAAGTTTTCAATCCTGAAGAGATGGCCAGCAGACAGACTACTCTCTGAGATACGCCTCTCAGGAAACACCCAAGTTTGGCTTTGTAAATGCCTGTGACAATATTAATAGCCATGCTCAGTGGTTTTAAAACCTGCCAACAGACTGTAGGAATTCAGCAGAGCACAGTAATTCTATTTGATCTCTAAATGAATATCATTGATACATAGTCTTGTTCCTACAACTGTTTTGGGAACGACACTGGTGAGGACCCATTGATTGAATAGTATTCAGATGACTTTACAGAGCAACCAAATGTATGATTTGAGACTTTGAGTAGAATCAACAGATTTACCATAAACATGATTATTTTTAACAAAAACATGATTTTTTTACTAAAACAAGTTTTTGATTGATTTAATTTATTTTTAATTTTGTTATGGATTTCTTATCTTAATTTAATTTTGGTTAATTTGTTGGTTTTGTTTGCTGGTGTGTGTGAGTATATTTTATTTATTATTATTTGTTATTTATTTAGGAGGCTTCTATGCCGCCCCATTCACCGAAGCCTCGGGGCGGCTCACAATAATAAATAAACACAATATAAAAACAATATAATTTGAGTCGACCTGGCCAAAAATAAAATAAAATAAAATAAATATTTGAGGTGCTATCCTATTTTATTGTTTTATCTGATTAATAGCTGTTTTATTGTAGTTTATGTGTTTTTTATGCTGTAGTACAGTAAGCCACTGACAGAACCTTTGGATTAGGGGGCAGCATAGAAATGGAAATAAATAAATAATGACACATGTGTTTATTTCTAACTAGAACAGGTGGTATTATTCCTCCGATAGCACAGCAGCTTCACCAAGAAAATATTGTGAGGATAGTACAACAAGCACTCTCTGTCAGTGGCATTAGTGTGCATGAACTCTCAGCTGTTGCAACAACTGTAAAGCCAGGGCTTGCTTTAAGCCTTGGAGTTGGATTGAACTATAGTATAGGCCTGGTGGAGAAATACAAGAAGCCTTTCATTCCTATCCATCATATGGAGGCACATGCGCTTACTGTGCGGCTGACCAACCACGTGGAGTTTCCATTCCTAGTACTTTTGCTCTCCGGGGGACACTGTATACTGGCTGTGGCACAAGGAGTTTCAGATTTTCTTGTCCTTGGACAAACATTGGACATTGCACCAGGGGACATGCTGGATAAGGTAATTCTTTAGATTTGGATTAATTTTTTAGGAATACTAGTCTGTAAAGTGTATGGCATACATTTCATAAGGACAAGGGTAGAGGTGTGTTAACAGATTAGGCTTGCCCTGTGCAAGTTATAGTCTAAAACATCTGAAGATATCCTTTCGTCCCACCTGGAGTATACGTCTTCAGATGCACAATCTATCTATGGACACTCAGAGACTCCCTTTTTCTCTGGCTGCAGCAGAAGCCATAAAACACGCTTTAGTGACTGCATCATTATATTCTTGGTATTGACCATATTTGCCTTGATCATCAACTGTATGGTGGTGAGTGAGGTCTGATGGTTTTGCCCACTACCGTTGTTGTCTGCCATTGTCCATAAATAGCTGGCTGTCAAGGAAGGTACGTAGTCCTCCATAAGCCATCTGTCAAGGTAGAGGGTGGTACCTCCTTTTCTTTCCAATGTCCTACCATAAAGCTGTTATAACCAATTCTGTTTAATAGGAAAAGGTATCCTGTAACATTTCTGGTTTTTATTGCTGTTTGTTTATTACAGTTGCATAGGCCTGCTGCCTTAGATCGATAGCTGGGTGATGCTGGTTGCAAAAGGATATGGGTCATGCCATCTATGATTGAGTCGGATGCAAACTCAGTTCAGCAGACCATTTCCACTAATCTTTTTTTTCTTCTTTTTCAAATTTCTAGGCCGCCCCATTCGCTGAAGCCTCGGGGCGGCTTACAAATAAATAAATAAATTAAAATACATAAATAGCAATATAAAATACACGTAACTGTATAAAATAATAATCTCACCAGTGCTGACACTTCTTTCCACAGCCATTTAAATCTTTTTCTCAGGCTTCCTGCTCTTTGTCACCTGCAGGCTCACCCTCAGCCTTACAGGTGCTGCCACCTCATGGTGCCTTGTCACATGGCTGTGAGTGCTAAAACAATGTTGGCAGGAACTGTGGCATGTGATTTCCCCACCCAATCAGCACCCCACTGCAAGGGAATACAAGACAGGGGGAAGGACTCAAAGAACTGGCCCCAACATCTTGTTTGCAGTGCTGACACATACGTGTCACAGCTAGATAGGTTAGCACCATAAGGATGTGGATGCCATGCATCTGGGTGAGCAAGTCAAGCTTCAGTGCAGTTGACATTCTGCAATACAAGCTCTAGGTCAGGTGTATCCTTCGTATCATGTTACAAGCACAGCACTGTGCAAAATCAAGATTTATTGCTTTACTGCCAAAGGCTCCTGCAAGTACAATACAAACCAATGAAAATATATTAAAATGATACAGGAAATAAAAAACAGATTTTGAAATTATGTCATTGCCATTGGTTATCATCAGTATTGGTCAGAACAATTCTATTTCATTAACTAAAGTCATCCCTGTGACAGCAGCTATCTTCTCTGCTAAATCCCTTTGTGTGTGTGTGAATAATATATACAATTTAAATGGACAGATTAGTTTTTAATAGTTTGACATACTTTCTTTATATTGCCACTTTAATTATAAGGTAATTTCTTAGTGGCATTGGGTGAGTTTTTAAATGATAATTTCTTAGTTTCTGTCTTGCCTTTCCTAAGGTAGCCAGAAGACTTTGTTTGCGAAAGCACCCAGATTGCTCTGGCTTGAGTGGTGGAAGAGCAATAGAATATTTGGCACAGCATGGAAATATGCTGAATGTTGAATTCACAATTCCCATGGAGCGACAGCGTGATTGCAACTTCTCCTTTGCTGGACTTCAGTCCCAAGTCAACAGAGTGATTGTACAGAAAGAAAAGGTGGAAGGTATTCTCCAGAATAGCCCTGATGTGAAATGTTTGTGTGACCTGCTACACATGCTTTTGGACAATTCATTTGGGAATTCTTTCTGCAGGCATTCAGGAAGGCCAGCTCCTGTCCTGTGTCTCAGAACTTGCTGCCACAGTCCAGTACGCAGTCACTGCTCACATTGCTAAGCGAACACACCGAGCCATTCTCTTTTGCAGAAGGAAGAATCTCTTGCCCCAAAAGAATGCAACATTGGTAAGTGTGTTTTCTCCTACTCTCTTTCTCCTTGTTGCATATCTGACTGAATCTGAATTCTGGTTCTGTTCTAATTCCAACCAGAAGCCCTTTTTTTTAAATTACTTGCACTTTTAGCTTCAGGAAGTATTAACCTCAACAACAGACTTCCCAGACTCCACTCTGCATTGCAGCAGCACAGAGTCCAAGTTACTGGCAGGCATGCCCAGGGTTCATGGGGCCCTCACCACAAAATGACCCCATGTGCTATGCAAGCAGTTCCATTCTTCCGTGCTTGCCACTGCCATCAGCAGCAGGGAGCTGGGAAGGTTGGTTGCCGGGAAGAGCTGCTTCGGAAGGTTACCAGTTACCCAGCTTGGGGGCCCATGGGTGTCTGTGGAATTCCTCTTGGCTCAGTTCACGTTGCAGGACTGGACCAAGCACAAGAGGAAGTTTGCAGAGTATGGAAGGACAGATGCGGAAAGGAATCATTCCAGTTCTATTGAACATGATGGCCACATTCGCATGGAATGACTTTCTGTGCAGGCAGTCCTCTTTGCTACTCCTCACAGCTGGCCACAGACGTGTGGAATCACACTTGAGAGTTTTCTCTGCTCAGCTCTGATAGTATATAGCATCCCATCATGGAAACTGTACATTGTCCTAAAGCAGGGGTGGGCAGTGGGCCTTGTCCATTCCTGCTACAGCAAAAAGAACCCTGATTGGTTTTGCATGCAATTGTGCTAACAAACCCTAAAAAAAGTTAGGTACCCTGTGGTACCCCACCCACAGAGTATGCCCATTACAGTGTGTGGGAGTGGCCCTTGGTCCCTCCCAAGTGTAAAGGAGATGAGAGGCCAGGCCTGAAAAGCTCACCAGAGCCCAGAGACTTCACCCACCATTTCTCCTAAGCAACCAGCTGATAGTCCAGAACAAGCATGCTCTTTGCTTGTTTGCTAGGACTAGGTTTCTTTTGCCCTCAGAGAGAATGAAATGCAATCTTTTCCCTAGTGTACCTAAAGCTTGTTGATGTCTCAGCTGTGGGACAAAGAGGAAAGTAAAGACAAACGGAAAGACTAAAAGGAAAGTAAAAGTTTGTTGATGGTGGCTGGTCATTTTGAATGCTTTGAAGAAAAAACTGCTAAGCTTGGGAGAACTTAGCCCAGATCAGCAGAGGTCAACTTGTGATCCTTCAGATGTTTTGGCCTAGAGTTTCCACAATCCCTCACACTTGGTTTTGCTGGGTAGCATTGATGGGAGTTGAAGACCAAAACATCTCCATCCATGGCCTATTTACTTTCGAAGCCATCCTAGGTAGGTCTTCAAAGACAGGAACTGATCTGTTCAATTGATTGTGGATTTGTGTGGAGAGATGGGCTAAGTGGAATGCCACCCAAAAGATACAGAGAACTGCAATTCATGGTGGGGGATTTTCCTCTGTGTCTAGTTAATTTGGAATGGAGGGTGTTCACATCCTTCTCCTCGCCTCACATTATTGTAACAAGATCCAGCTCTTTAGCTATTAAAATTCCTCTTTCAACACTGGTTTCAGGTGGTTTCAGGAGGTGTTGCATGTAACCAATATATCCGCAGAGCTCTGCAGATTGTAGCTGATGCCACTGACTTCACCTTGCTATGTCCACCCCCAAGACTCTGCACTGACAATGGAGTTATGATTGCATGGTAAGCAATTTGAGAGTACTACATAGTTGCAAACAGTTTCTTTGTTGGGGGCAGCATATATCCTGCCTATAGGATACATACATACTTTGCAGTGCACATTTATCATGGGACAGATTTTGTATATACGGTTGTATATATTTGGGATGCATTCAGTTCCTACATGGAAGTGCCAAACACCTAAGGCAGCCTTCTCCATTGCTGCATCCTTTAGAATAGCCATTGTTCTGAGGATAGGGGAAGTTGGCCTAGGCAAATCATCATATTTATTTAGAATGACCCTATAGCATAATGTTTTGAAATAGAAAAAATGCCTATTGCTGTTCAGTCAGAAATACGAAGATGACCAAAGAGTACATTTCACAGGTAGATGCCTCGTGTTCATATGGTATCATCCCATTAAAGGATATTTGGCTAGCTGGAAGAGTGCCAAGCTTGGTTGAAGACTCTCTTGCCCAACAATATCAGTATTATTGTATAGCGCGGACTGTATTGTGATGAATGAAATTGCTTGCTATAGATACCATGCACAAGTGTTCCCTCTTTAGGAATGGCGTTGAACGGCTTTGTGCAGGAGTGGGTGTCTTACACAGTACAGAAGGCATAAGATACGAACCAACGTAAGTAGTATAACTGCTTTCATATCCTTTGTTTTTCTATTCTATTAATGCTGGGCAGTGGGATTTTCCTTCCTGCTTTTCTACCCTGCTGCCATCAGCATGTTTCCCAGATCTAGTTTGTCATATTGTTCTAATGTCAAAAACCCCATGCTGGTGAATGTGTAGCATATCAGGGAAGAAAGCTTCTGCCTATACTAAGATTAACTTAATGCACATTAATTTTCTGCCAATGATTATTCCACGTGCCTCTTTTTTCTTAACATTAGGGCAGTGATGTGAAATTCAGGCCAACTGAATTTCTCCTCTTTAAAAGAGATTTTACTTACTTCTGAGTCTATTCACATAGGATTGCACTGCATGAGACTTCCATTTAGTAAGAGAAATTTAAATTCAGTATGAGGAGCAAGAAGACAGTGGCCAAAGTTGTTAATATTGAACAGCAAAATAAAAATACTTCTGTTTGAAATTTTATGGACATAATATTAAAATAAAATATAGCTGTATTACTTTGAATTTGACAGTTGAATTCTTAAAGAAAGTGCAGTAATAATTCAGATGAGATATTGTATAATTTCACTGCCTGTACAGAAGCCAAACATGAATTTACAGTGCCAGCTTGTTGGTTTGTCTGTTCTTGATATCACAATATGATTATGCAGTCTTGTGTGTTAAAGCATTATTTTTACTTGTTATTTTTTAGAGCTCCTCTTGGAACTGACATCTCAGAACAAGTCAGAGAAGCTTCCATCAAAGTGCCAGCACTAAATTTGATAATCTGATGTCTTATTTTTTCAAGAACTAGGTGTGAATAATGAATGCTGTCAGAATTGCTGCCCTCTTTTCTGGCCAGGTTGGCTGCCATTTTCTTGTGGAAAAGCAGGGTACATGTCAAATGAAGATAAATTCTGTAACAGTGGTATTCATCCTCCAGCATGCAGTTGCTGATACATTTCATACTAAGCTAGGAAGCAAGTTGGAATATCAAAATGAAACATATACAGAGGACAGCGCAGAAGCTGAATAGGAAGAAGATATTTCTTAACATTTTATCCTCTTTTGTAAATCTGTTCTTTTAATCAGATATAAAATAAGACTAGCATTTTTCAGTGTGACTAACTGAAAACCTTATGAAGTAGGAAGTGTGGTTATTTTCAATTATTTGTGTACTTGAATACATTTGCTTAGTTAGACCTGTTAACTGTGAAGTAAAGTTAATACAATCACTTTTTGAGCTCACTCTTAATTTTACAAAGTCTGTAAACTAGTTTGTTTTTTAAGCATTCTGGAACTTTTTTAACAAGATAATTGACTGGTAAAGAATTGCACTCCCTTTGCCTGTAATGCAGTAACTGTAGTTGAACACATTCTGATTTGATATCTCAGTATAATTAGGTGCAAACTTTAATGGCATGGCTGCACCTTTCAAATTAAGAGTACCAGTTCAAACTTTACACCTGCCTTCCACATACAGCAGGATACTGCTGTATGTCTTCCTCATACAGCAGAGAAATTTTAATGTGATACCTGCCTGGAGAGATGGGCTATTGGGAATGAACATCACTGTGCTATGCTAGGAAATAATTTTATGTTAAATCTTGACCACATCTTGACCCTGGAACTCAGCTCAAGTGAGCAAAGAAAGATGCAAAAAGCACTGTAATCAGTCACCTCCCTAGAACACTTAGCCGTCCCTTTGCAACTTAGTGTGCAAATTTATTGCATAATTCTTCATTTGAAGTTAAAATATCGACTTGAACCTCATCCCTATTTTGAAGGTTGAGAGGAGGAAAGATGTAAAACATTCAAGTGTTACCTTCTGTAAGGTTTGGCATATTAAGAGGAGAGCTTGAGGCCATGAAATAATTCTCAGTTTCCAGCTTGACCCTACACCATGTGCAAAAGAAGTAAATACACTATAGTTTTATTGTTTGAAGTAAAACCTAATAAAGCTGGGTAAAATTAAGATTGCAGGTTGGGATGCAATCCAGCCATCACTAAACTGTATAAGGGAGCAATCTTCTACATGCTTAGACAGAAAAAGTTCCTACAAATCCCATCATTCCCCAAAAAGAAGTTCCAGCATGCTAGCTGAGGGATGTTGGAAGGTACAGGTCTTTTTTCAGTCTACCCATACATAAGACTGCATCCTAAGCCCAATTTGTTTTCTGTGTCTGAGGGTGTACTTACCTCTGTCCTACTGAAATCAAGGATACTTGAAGTTGCTTAACTTCAGATAGGTAATACTAAAAGCCCATTTAATCAGTGTTATGGAATACGTAGTTATCAGAATCCCGTGTTAACACGGTGGCATATTGGTTAGAGTGGAGATCTGGCAGATCCCAGTTCTAGCCTATGGACCAGTCACTTACTCTCAGCCTAATCTATCTCACAGGGTTGTTGCTGTGGAGATAAGATGGAATGGAGGAGGGCGATGTAATCTACCTTGAATTCCTTGTCAAAGGAAAAAACTGGAGGTAATAATAATCTGGTGCGCCTTCACAGTCTTGAAGCATGACTATTATTCCTAATATTCAGATGCTATTCAGAGTAGTGGCAAGCTGATTTGTTTTATTAGATTGGCTGCCTTGATTATGGTAGCTTAAAGATACCTTCTATTTGTGCAGAAGTAAGGCACATTCTTAGGTCTTAACTCCCCAGGAAATTTGCTTAGCACTGCAGCCTAAAACATTTTAAAAGACATATGCATAAGTTATTTTTAACATGCCCTTAATTTTCTATACTATGAAAGAAAACATTAACTTCATCCACTGCACATAAGTTATTTTTAAGACATGAAGGTTTACATATATTTCCAGTGCTTTTATTCTCTACCATTGCAGAAAATTCTTCCATTATTACTAACCCTGTGCTAGAGGTATTAGCAGCAGCTTTTATTTTCTTTGCTATTGCAATGTAGGAACTGTGTTCAAGCTTTTTTTCCCTGGCAAATTACTCCTGAGAGTGCTGATGTTAACAATTCTTGGTCTTGAAACTTGAATGAGGTCTGATGTTGTGGTGTGTGGAAAAGGATAGTGTCCAGAGACTGGAATGCGGGGCTTCTCCAACATTCTTAATCTGCCCATTAGATGAGTTGTTGTGGGCATTAAAAAGAGGGAATCCTTTGGACGGCACTTTGATTTGTACACTTTGACACCAGAACCCCGTGATTTGTCTACAAAAGAAAAACATTACTTTTTATTCACTGTTACCTGCAGAATACTTCGGACATTTTGTGGCATAACCAATGGTGGTTTTTAAGAGAGATCATCACAAATTATATTTTGTTGTTACACAAACTATTAGATAAAATGGAATTTGCATTAAATAATTCATTGCACAGAAATGGCCTGCCGATTGCTGGGGGCAATGATTTCTGAGCAATGGAGGATGATGCATATATGCAAAATCAGATGTAGATGTGGAACCTCTGCTGGACCAGCAGCTGTACTTTTGGGTTGGATCTGCACAGGGGTATTGCAGTCCCCAGTGGCAACCTCCCAAAGACTGCAGAGCAGCCAGCTGCAGAACCCAAGGAATTGCTGCTAGTGGCAACACTGGCCACCCTCTTTGGATTCCAGTTTGTTGTTTGATAACTTGCTTCGCCTGTTTGGTCAGTGCTTAACTGCAGGCATATGGGTGCAGTTCACTACCGTGTGTGTATATCTGTATCAAAGCCAAGGAGATCTGAGCATGCTTAACATCTGCACTGGGTGTGCAATTGAGTTCTCTCTTGATTTGTCAGAATTTGGAATAAATACTGCATACCTTATAGCTGAGAGCTAGAAAGACACAGCTGATTCTGAGATGTCTACCCATAATTTCTAGACATAAATTACCTCGTATATGTACAGGAACTGCAGGTGGCCCTCCATTTATCTCCAAACTGAAAAGAAAAAGCAAATGTTAAGAAAGTAGGCTTTAGTCTTAAGAACAGTTAAGATACTTTGTAGTTTTTTCACTGATGTTCATAGGATACCCTAGAAGAAATTTATTTGAAGATTCTGATGACTCTGAGAGACTTGCAATCTACTAATTAAGCACAGTGTATCTTCATGTTCTCCACATAGTTTCTGAATTCAGAGTTCATTTTCATTAAACAGTTTAATCATCTGCTGCTTCATACATTCCGTCTCAACAGTCCTTTTGGGTTGGCATATTTGGTCTTCTGGGAGTGTTGTGGATGTTTTTGCAAAATGGACACCATGCAGGGCTTTCCAGTTCACAAAATAGTTGTTACCATTAATAGACCAGGTTACAAAACACTCATTTTCCAAAAAACAAAGTGGCAAAACTAAAAAGAAAGTAACTTGTTCAAATGCAAGGCAAAGACAGGATCTGCACTTCTAAAAGCGAATACACTCTTTTGAACCCAGATAAAACACGGTGCTTGAGGGAAGCATTTTGCTTTGCAGAAAGCCAGCTTCCCAGTAATTTTGTTTATCATTTTTAAGTCTTAAATAAAAATCAGGAAGTGCAGGGAGCTTGATGGATATATATAGATAGATAAACACACACACACACACACACACAGTATGTTGGTCTTTAAGATTCTTCAAGTCTCAGTGTTTTTGTGATACTAGATGGCTATGCTTCCAGAACTGAATTCTTATTTTATTTGACAATGAAATCTGCACTGGGGCCTTGTTTCATTCACAATTCAGGTAGATCCTTAGCAACACTCTTGATCACAGATTTCAGACTCACTTGTACACTGCCCTCCCCCAGGGTCCAATGGATAAGAAGGAAGCCCCCATAACCTTGCTTACATTCAACAAGATGCCATACATAACAACTATCACTTTTCTGTAGAAGTTTTGTTTACTTTAAAATGTTCATCCCCACTTTTCCAGATAAAGAGAACGAAGACAACTCTCAACACTCTTTGAATAATTCTTTTGAAGCATATAAAACCAGAAAAGAACATAGACTATCAAGTAATTCTATTACCTCCCTGTTGGCCTAACTAAATACATCTTACAATACAATCCTATTCTACTCGAAAGTAAATCCCTGGAATTTAGTTTATTCTCAGATAAGTATATATGGATTGCTGAGGTGAGCTAATCTAATAAGGAACATTAGGTTACAATCCCCTCTCTGTTCATCTGGAAGTAGGCCCCATGGAATTCAATGGGATCTCTGAGTAGACCTGCCTATGGTTGCTCTGCTAGTGCCTCCTGAAACTGCTAGGTTAGATGAGTGTCTTTTAGAGTATTAGACAGGGAAGCAGGACCTGCATTTGCCCTCAATCTCTTGTAACAAAGGAATGCAGAACAGGGCTTCCTGATAAACAGATATTTCATGTGCACAGTTGCATTCTCCACCCATAATACTGAAGCAGCAACATGAGGGCAACCCTCCCATGGAGTGCTCTGCTGCAAAAATTAGGAAAGGTGTCATACCTTGTCATTTGGAGAATGGGGAATGCATATAGGCTGTTCTCACTACGGGCTGCAGTTAGCGAGGTCAGGGGGGAGGTTTTGCTTACCAACTTAACAAAATCAAGAGTTTAATTAACTTACTAAAGTGTTACTGTGTGCAGTGTGCCCATAAAACAGAAGTGATGCCAATGAGCAGTATAAGTGGACTACTGACTTTCATTGCCCACGGGAGCCTACTTTGACTTCAGAAAAGCTTGGGAGGAAGAAGCTCATGAAACACAATCAACTGAAGCAGGGAATGAGACAACAGCATTTCAGCTTCAGCCGTGAAAGTAGAAATTGCCATGCTGGCAGAACAGGACTTTTTGGAAGATTTTCGCATGGGAGGACTGAAGGAGTCCCAGCTGGTCACAGCCAGCAAATCCAGTAGCTGAATCAGAATGGTTTGGATCACAAGAGTGAAGGCACCTGCTCCACGTACATCAGTGCCTAACACAACTGCGCCAGTGAGGTGTAGTGGTTAAGAGCCTGGGACTGGGACTCAGGCGATCCGGGTTCGAGTCCCCACTTGGCCATGGAGCCAACTGGGTGACTTTGGGCCAGTCACAGATTCTCAGCCCAACCTACCTCACAGGGTTGTTGTTGTGGGGATAAGATGGAGGAGGAGAATGATGTAAGCTGCCTTGAGCCCTTTGTAGGAAAAAGGCAAGATATAAATCAGGGAAAAACAAAAAAAACTACAACTGAAGCAGAGTGTTAGGATGTAACACTTTGTGCTTATGTCTTTGAGGAAAGTGGTGTCTTTTCTGTTTAACTCATCACTGCCATTCTTTGAACTTCCTTATGCTTTTATGTCAATTAGATTCTGTTCTTGATGGATTGTACCAAGGTGCAATAGTAATGTAAACTATTTAGGAGTGACTTGGTCTTGCATGGACAATTAAGACCCATTTGCTTTCCTAAATACCAGCTCTGGTGAAGATGTAAACTGCCAGAACTGTTTCTAGATCTGGTCAACTATTTGGCCTGAATTTTTGCACACTCCTTGGGGGTGTAGTTCTGGGGGCTGTCATGGTGAGTGCCCGCATCTCAAAATTCATAGTGCATCCCTGTAACTGCATTATCAATGTGACATGACTATTACTAATCTGCTATTTAAATGTTGCTAGTTCACTTTACAATGATTTTTGTTACGTTTATATAATACCTTTGTCCACAACCTTTAACAACTTAATATATAGTTTTTGTACTGCTGTGTTTTCAGATGAAAAGTTGATTTAATAAAAATGGGATGCTATTAGAAGAAGGTGCCGTTTGCACATTCAGTGTGTTTGTTGCTGGTAGCCATGTAACTGTTTTGGCAAAATCAGCAGCGCCTGTGGCACCTTAAAGTCTAATGCATTCCACTTTTATCATAGTCTGAAGCTTTTCCGGTCCGGAATCCTTTTTATCAGTTACATTTGACTAAATGGGCATGAGGCTGGAAAAGATTAGGCAACAATATTTACTTTTACTTTTGAAGGTGTCAGAAGATTCCTGTGTGTTTTCTCAGCATGTCTTACTCACAGTTGGCCCTTCCTGGATGCAACCACTAGCTCCAAGAATATGTTAGTGTGCCAATTTGGAGTGCCCAAATGTCTCCATTATCTTGCATGATGTTAAGTAAAAAATCATGATGGGGGAGATTATGTAGATGCCTCCCTAGACTAAGCTGAGGATACTTCCTCTGTCCAGGGTTCTTTGCAGAGGTCAAGTAGATGTTGGCATTTGCAAAGCTCTTTGGGCACATAACATATAATACGTAGCTGGGGCAATTATGTGTAGGATATTATACTAGCACTCTATCCTCCAAAGTATCACAAGGAACTGAGTCTACCTTTGTAATGATATATAATACAAGTCTTGGGAATAACAAAAGATCTACATTCATGCTAAAGGCATGCAAACAATTTAAACCAGAACATTATTTTAAAATAAATCTATCCTCTCATTTCTAAGCCACTGTGTTGGGAAAGATGTTTGAACTGAGTTTCACTGTAATTTTTAGCTTGAGGAGAAAAAGAAGAAAACTTCTGTGTGGGGCGGGAATACATATCCCCAAAAACCACATACACAACAACGGTATTGTTAAATTACAACTATTTTCCACCAAAGCTAGAAATAAGCCTTGGAAGCCTTTGCACCTCATCTATGAAAATTTCAAATGCTTTAGTTTTGTGAGTTATAGTTTCCCTGCAACTCATTTCTGAAAAAAAAAAGTTCTTCAGCAGACTTTCCTCAATTTCTCATTAACGTGCATATTGAGTTGGGGGAATTTAAAAGGTCTTTCACCAATATTAGTATAGGGCCCATATTATTGAATAGAATTTTGTAAGATAGTGTTACAAAAGTGAGAGGTGTAGCAGCCTTCTAAAATCAACACCACTGTAAAAACGTTCAAAATATAATTAATACTACCTGAGAGATGGAAGTCCAACCTTCTTTTGTCTCTTGAATTCTTTCACAAAGTCAGAATTTATTTTTGCATCTTTGCTAAGATTCATTATTAGCCTCTTAAACAATTTGGGCTTATTCCTACATTGTACCAATAGATGGCGGTACGCAGTTCGGTTGAATGTTAGGTATCCCAGAGCACTCGCCATAGCTGTGCGGACCTGCAAGAGAAGTAGGCCGCGCTCGGGTAACTCACGCTTTTCATTTAATTGATTTGGCAGATGCATATACTGCCCATCGAAATTCCAACAACAAAGAACCGTAAGAATGTTTTGGGGGCAGTAGGCCCAGGAAACAGGAATATGCTTTCCTGGCGCCTCAAGCAGGGCCGGGAGGCCTATTTTGGCGCGGTGGTCGGGCCACGTGCCCGCAGTGGGGAAGGCCCTGGGCCGAGTGGCCCGGACTGTGGGGCACGCGCTCCCCCCTCGGGAGCCACAGGCGCTCAGCAGCTGCACGCCGCCCCATCGGAGGAGGAGCAGAGGGGCCCGGTGCAAGAGCAAGGAGCGTGGCGCTTCCGAGGCCCTGGCTCCTCTCTTCCCCCAGCCCTCTCTCTTCTCCGGAGGCCGTGCCCCAAACCCTCTGCACATCTGGCAGCCTGAACTCGGCCCTTTCCAGTCTCTGCTTTAAGAGATTGCAAAGTAGGCGCGTTTCTCTGGGGAAGGAATTCCATAAATGAGGTCCTGCAGCCCAAATACCCACTCTCTGCCCGTCGCTCACTGCACCTCTGGCTGCGAAGGCAGGAATATCTGAGCAGTTTTATTACAGCTGTGCCTCCTAGTAAGAAGAAAAGCTTTTAGACCCATTTGATTGAATTTGTTATTGGTATGAGATTTATTTTTAGCAAGCTGCCTACAGGAATACCTCTGTATATTGGTAGCTTGAAGAACGTTTAAGCAGAGATTAATTTAGATCGAATGTAGTTTGGAAACCAGCCACATTGTCGCACTTGCCTATATATTGTATTCGTTTTAAACCACCCAGAGAGCTCCAGTCATTGGGTGGCATGGAAATTAAATAAATCTTATATATGATCTGAAGTTCTGTTATTGCAGCAGTATCAAGCACATTGATGTAACAACATTCAACAAATATATTAAAATATGATTACCACAGATGGCATTCACTGGTGGTTCTGAAGGCAACAGGAAAAAGACTGGGGATAATTGTTTGGTGCCTTTGTTCAGAGGCTGAGGGATGGTGCAGGGTGGCTCTATAAGTGTCATTTCTGACCTCTGCCACAGATGTGGCTGAGGCAGCATGCAAAAAGCACCATATGCCTGTTTTCTCCAAAAGCTTCAACAAAATCAACCCTTCCAACCTCATCAAAAGTCTTATGAGCATCTAAACACAAAATAAACATGGGGAGATTAAGGCACAGTCCTGCTCTAATGAGTGGAAGCTCCCAATGAGTGGAAGCTCACACTCATCTTGCTCAGAAAGGAATGGCAGAGGCCTCGGTGGCCTGCTTGCTCCTCCTCCTCCCTCTTTGGAATGCTTTGGAGTGGGAGGGAAGGATACTGGAGCAGCTTCAGGATATCTTGCATCCCTCCCTCCCTCCCTCCCTCCCTCTGAATTGCCCCCTTTCCCCTCCTCTCCAAGGTCACTTTCCTGTTCTGAGGAAGCATTCCATGCAGGGGCTGGAGCTCCCATCTCCCAGCTGTCTCGGAAGTGGGCATGTGAACTCTCCCATGCTCCCTACCCATGATGTTTGTGGGCCATAGGATTCAGCTGTACAATGGATCTCCATGATCCAGCTGTAAAATGATGACCAGTTTCTATGGATAAAACTGTTCAGTTGAGAAGCTACATGGAATATTTGCCCAGTTTAGCGACCACCACCATTCTCTCTTTTCTCCCCATTTCCTCCCCCCCCCCTTTTTTTTTTTAATTGTAAGCCTGTGGGCAGGGACCGTCTTGGTGAAGTGATTATATAGAAGATGGTCGGGGAGATGTTTTGACTCATGAGTCATATAAAAATATAAATATAATTTTTAAAGCTGTGATTGCTGAAAACACACACCCAGAATACTCACTGAAAAGAGTGCAAGTAAATGTGGGATAATAATCTCTTTATTAGAGACTGAATTGACCCAAATGAAAAAAAAAATTATAAGGATGTACCTCTTCTTCCTTTGCATATAAGTGGTAACAAAGACGCTGGACAGTTCCCAAACTTGTAATTGCTTCTGGAATACCTGCTCTTGTGTGAGCCAAACTAGCCAATAATTTTCCTACAAAGAAATAGATTTTCAGTTGAACATATTAAATTGTGCTAAGAGCGTCTAAAAACAATAGACTACCAGATTATTTGTCAATCAGGTGCTGTTTCTGATATTTTTAATACAAGCAATGAGGTTTTATTGCCATGGTTTTTATCATGTCTACTTCTGCATTCTTGCTATACTTTGAAGATGGGAGTGGCGGGTCCAAACATCTGGAAGGCCAGAGGTTGCTAACCCTGGCTGTCCTGCCTGCCTATCTCCTCCTGAAGCCATTAGAACAAGCTAGAGAGCAATGTCATGTCCTCCAGGCAACTTCTGAGAGGCCATCAGGTGCTACAGGACTCCTTCCCCAGGGGCGGTGAGGCAATATGATTGCAGATCTTCCTCCTGAAACCAGTTCTGTGGCATATTCCTCTTCTGGAGTTGACATTGTGACCCTGGAAAAGGAGAGGGAAGGAAGGAGGGGAAGGAGGCCAGCTTGCATAGGGCAGAGGTCATAGATCTGTCAGATTCACAAGTCTTTCCACTCCTGTCCGTGCCCCCAGCCAGGTAGGTTAGATGGAATGAGGCATTTATGAAGCACTGAAGTGCATATACTGAGAACACTAAAAAAAGCCCTGTGGCTCCTCTTGCCCCACAAGGTTCTTGGATGGACAGTGCCTTTCCCATTCATCAGACACTAATCCTGTAGGGTTGTTACCTTAGTTTTTCTTCACACCACATTGCTTTATTTGGGACTGAATTACAACTACCTTTAGATGAATTAGGACCTCATCATTCTATGGATTGTCCCCCAACTAGAGCCAATAATTTCTCCTATTGCTATGTCTTTCCCATTCCTATAATTAGGGCAAAAATGGTGTGGCCAAAGTCAAAACTTGGAACTAAACCTTTGAATAGGTATTTCAACTATTAAGAATTGGGTCAAAACTGCACAAAAGCTAAGCAAGAATGAAGCTAAGAAAGAATTGATTCTAAGTTTGATAATGGCAGTTAGGCTAGTGATAGTTAAATATTGGAAACAGAATTGGGTTTTGCAAAGGCATGAATGGTATAATGAAATATGGAATGTGGTAATGATAAACTGATGACAGAAATAAAAATGTAAAAAAGGTTAATGAAAGCAAATAAATATAATGAAATTTGGGAAGATTTTGTAAAAGCAGTACTGATAGAAAGCAAAGATTGTAAACCTAAGCAAGATTATATGAATTTCTGGAGGGGGTATGGATATAATTGAAGAATATTATGTATTATTAATTGTTATAGTATGTGAATTAAGAGGTGGTAGTATTGGTCTCCAGGGTGGTGGGTGCACTTTACTTTTTAATTATTGTGTTTATGTTATGCACTATTGTTATTGGAATTCTGGGAACAATACATGGCAAAAGAAGAAGGGACGGCAGAGGATGAGGTGGCTGGATGGAGTCACTGAAGCAGTTGGTGTGAGCGTAGGTGGACTCCGGGAGATGGTGGAGGACAGGAAGGCCTGGAGGAGTGTTGTGCATGGGGTCACGATGGGTCGGACACGACTTTGTGACTAACAACAACAACATTGTTATTGGTGTGATATGTTGTATTTATGTTTTTTTCTGTTTAAAAAAAAAAGTGGGGACTGCACAAAAGCTGGAAAATCAACAAAGAGGCAGTGGTGGAAGAAATGGGACAGGATCCCAGAGAGCAGACTTAGATCCCAGGTAAACTGGATTTGGCCCCTGGGCTCTAAGTTCCCCATACCTGTCTGAGACACGTTAGATAAAGAATTGTGTCCTGCTATGTTAATCAGAAGTAATTAACAAATTACTTTGCAATTATCAAAGTAATTGATTAAGATTTTATAAACATGCAGCACTGAAGAAATTTTCTCAAAGCATGGGTACCTGTTAGTACTAGAGTAGCTGGCTTTTCTGAACACAGCAGTTCAACCAATATAGAAACTCCTTTTGCAGACAAACTAACTTGATCCATATCAACTATAATTCTGGCTAGTACAACAATCTGAAATCAAGGATACATTTTGACATAACATATTAATTAGGTCTCATACATTTTGCATTTCCCTATTTCCAACATCATGGGAGTCTAACCATTTTTGTTCCTATGCTAAACCATTGGATGAAACCAGTTCTCCCAGTTACAAAGTCCTGTGGAAATTAGGCAAATATTAAGGTGTCTTTACCTTACCTGAAAAGCAGCTGTTGCTCTATCTGTCTCTATTTCTGATATTAGAAAAGGCTCAAATATTGTCAGTGAAATTGGTCCAGACTGTAAGATCAATAACTGTTGGCTGGGATTATTATAGCCAAAAAGGGCTATAGCATATCCTGCCCGTAGACAGATATCCTTCAAACAGAGAAAGTCATGAATGTTCTTGATTATTAAATATAAATATTTTTTTAAAACACATCCCCCCCACCTGTGCTATTTAATTCCAAAAGGGTAGCAATGCCCAGCAAGCTAGAACAGTTGCAGTAAGAGTGGAAAAGCTTTGTGGCACCTTAAAGACTAACAAATGTGTTTACAGTATATGGAGAAAGAAGGGCAAGGCCATATTTTTTTTACAAGATGGGACCAAAAGGCCAAGAAATGGGAAAAAAGTAAGATCTAGCAAAGAGTGAAAGACCAAGTCAGGGCAGACAGTAATCTATTTGGCAAATAAGGTTCAATATATATGCATATGAAGTTTGCAAAAACACTGTTTTTAGCCATTATTATAACTAGTGCAGAACTGCAGAGACCGTGCTCAGTTCCCAAGATCCCTGTGCCAGCTCAGAGATATGTATGAATCTCTTTATTTGTGTTCTGTCCCTTTAATACTAATAGTGGGTGCAGAGTAATACATGTAAAGGCATGTGTGCATAGCTCTGGTTCCTCCCCTGAGATAAAGGAGGAAGTGTTGGGGGCAGGATTTGCAACAGGGCACTGGCAGTTGACTGCTTTGCAGAAATATATGGAGTGTCAGGTACATTCCTATAAATTGGCACAATTATATACTCCACTAATGCCAGTACCTTATCTGGTGCATGAAGGAGCTCCAGGACATCAGAGTAATTAAAACCTTCCTTCTCTTGCAGCACACTCTGCAGACTGCTATTCCTTAAAACAATGCAAGCCAAAGAAAATGCAACTTCAACCTAAATATTTGGTTGGATGGGAGAACAAATTAAAAATAAGAGAAAATATAGGTTTAATGTAGTATAGCTGAAAACTGCCAGGTGGCAACTTGCTCAGCTTCAAGAAAGCTCATGCTCCTGGCACTTTAAAGCTTGCAAAATGTGTGCTACATTGCAGAGAGCAAACACCTAATAATTGCTCCTCCTTGAAGAAATTATCACATGCTTGTAATTTCCTGCTCATGGATATATATGGAATGTTTCGATGATGATGTGACCCTCCTGTTTTGCTTCTGTTTCTAAAACAGTACTTTTGGCAAGTTTTGTTTAGTGCAAGAAAATATAGTACTTGCTCATAAACGTGAAACCCCCTTTTTTACTTCTGAACTTGCACTGCACCACCTAGAAATATGTACTGAAAAGCAGGAAAGGAAATATTCCTCATGTGGTGCTTGCATTTCAGTTCTGTGGCAAAGCCAGAATTAGAGCATTTAACAAGCTCCTGTAGAAAAGCAACACCTAGCATTTCTGTATCATTCATACTTAGAAATAAACAACACAAATCTTATTATTACTAGAACTCAGAATGAGCTAGAATCTCTACTTTAATTCTCTGGAGAATGGACAGTTCCTCATCCCTGTGCCTCAGTCACAGGTGGGGACAGCAAGGAAGATGAGCATGTATATATTGCTGCATCCCGATCACAAATGGATTCTGCAAGACCATTCCATGTGTGCATACTGTTGATAATAGCTGTAAATTTCATACCAAATAAAGAGGCTCAAGATATTCTTCTTTTTAGAAAGTACTTAGGGTGGAACCAGTCCTTTGGGGGCTGCTTCCCAAAACAATATCCCAAGCTCTAATTCTCTCCCTGTGTCCTGTGTTGAAACATCACACAGAACCATGCCTTGTTATAACTGAGCTTTCCCACCCCTGTGCCTTATAATTGGACACTGTGGTGGGGTGGAGAGGGTTGCATGAGGTGAGTTTGATGGCATTGGAAAGTTCTAGATGTGGGGATTGAGGGTGGCGTTAGGTACTGAAAAGACCTGAGACCCATCAGGGTACCACAAGACAACCATAACATATGAATTGGTATTTGTTTATTTATGCACTATTGTCTCTCTGTGTGTCACAGGGTCATCCCTATTTGTTAAGAGGGACATAAGGGCAGGGGAGAGGAGGACATTAGATTTCAGGGGGGGAAAAGACCTGTAGCAGAAAGATGCAAGGGGCAGCAAGAATGGACGCATATGTGGACAAAAGGCCAGCTAACCCAGGGGCTGACTCAGGTGCAGCTGAGTTCCTCAGGGCCACTGTGCCTTTATTTCAGCAAGCGCCAGGGACTGCTGGGGGGTGGGGCAGAGGGCCTCCCAGGGATGTTGGGCCCTAAATGGCAAAGTTGGCGTGCCACCCCTAGTAGACTACCTCTTAACATGTCACTGGTATAGATGTTGATTTTGCTGGCAGCCCCCTTCCTGACATAACAGCTCTTCTTTAAGGACTGGCGTAATGACATTATGTCCATGTGTTTATCCATAGAATGGGCAAATTCAGAAAAGGCTACTAGGCTTGATGGCTAAATGCCTTTCAGTAGGAGAGGCAGTGAGCCAGTGTACGCCAGCTACTGGAGAAAATGGACGGGAGGCATGGTTGCACTCGCGACCTTCTTGTGGGCAGCTGTTTGGCCACTGTGTGAGCAGAATGCTGGACTGGGTGGACCCTTGGTCTGCCCCAGCAGGCCGCTGCGCAGGGTCTCATTCTAGCACATTGCTTTCATGAATGCTGTCACATAATTCTCACCCACATCCCTTAGCTACTGATCGGCAGCTGGCTTCTTCAGCATCCAGCAGTGAACCTTTCTTTTTCTACTATGTGCCGAATTAAAAGTCCCACTGAAGCCTACCCAGGAAGTGCTCTGTCTGCAAGGTTAAGAATTAAAGCCTACCCTTATCTGAAGCGAACTGTGAGTTTTAAGCAAATGAACCAGTATGGGCAAGGCCCCTTCATCCACCACGTTCTCTTGGCTGACTGGATTGCTTATGTTAGCTTCACCTGTAAGGTCCAGAAAGTCAGGCAGGGAATCACAGATAAAGAATATAAACAAACTGAAACCAAGACCAGAAAAGGAACGCTAGCACAAGCAAACTGATTTAACTTTGTGAGTGCAGGGAATATTGGTCATGCAGGAACCAATGTGTCCCGAACACCTTTCTTGGTGCCACCTCCCTTGATTACACCATAACCACCCACATTTTCATTTTAAAATAAGTTTGCGTGCTTTTACTGGCAGCCCAATATTGTGTCCAAAGAGGAAATAGGAGCATCTAGTTACTGCCATTTTAATTTTCCATGAATACCACGTAGCATGTTATTTGTCATTTTTTGTCGAAGTGTGCCCACCCATGGCAGCCAGTTTATGGCTGCATCTAAGACATCATCTCAGATTTCAACATGTGCCTACAGGCCCACAAGGTTACTGCCTCTGACCTAGATATTCTCAGCCCCGGTCTGCCAAAAAATTTTAGGCTGCTTTGCTGGTGTCCTGCCATTCCAAGGAATTGGTTAGTGCCAAATCCAGGTGGGCATCAGTGGAGAGAAATATAATCCTACTTCTGTGTCTTTTACTGGGCCAAGTGCAGCTCAGTTGCCAATACTTATTATTATTATTTATTATTTATTAAAACATTTTTTATGCCGCCCCATTCGCCGAAGCCTCGGGGCGGCTTACAACATAGATAAAACAAGTTAAAATCCATATAAAATAATCTTGATTAAAACTCACATTATAAAATAAGCCGCCCTGGCCAGATAAAATTCAATTGTATTTAGCATTTAAAATGTTGCTTAAATAAAAAGGTCTTAGCCTGGCGCCGAAAAACAAATAACGACGGCGCATCTTCCTGATGCCCTCATCCCCACTTTGGTACTTGCAGTGCAAAGTAGTGAGCAGGTGGGCTCACTGCTAGTGAGCTAGCGACTGGCACTGTGCATGGCATTGTAGATTGCAACAGTGTAGGCCTATCCTAGGAACAAGATTTTTTTATTTTTTATTTTGGACAGGTCATCCCAATGGCGGTTTTGCTAACTAATGGACTAATTCTCTATTGTGCTAATACATAATACACTGAGAAATACTTCCAACACTTCTTGCATTATTCTGATTTAGAACCCTTTCATTTTTTTAACTTGAGCAGAAACAAGTCTACAAACCAATGCACATGGTTCCCAAAGCTTTGATGACACTGAGCAGTGTGCCGTCTGCTATCCTTCCACTCCTTAACAGCCGGACCAAAGGAGCAATTCCATTTCCTTCACATATCTGATTCTGGTGAGTTTCGCTGTCCTTGCTAAGAGCGATGACGGCTTCACCTCCTTGTGAAATGACCAAAGCAATACATGTGTTTTAGAATCATCTGTGTTTGTGGTTTTCTTTGCATGTTTGCAGCAGAGCTGACATCATGGTCGGACACTTGCTGGAGGTCCACAGCCCAGCTGGGGCCCATTGACAAGAGTTCTCTGGAATGTCTTTTTGCCATCACAACCTGCCTCTCCGTCTGCTCCAGACCACAGTGGTGGTGAAAAGGCGGAACAGTAGATGCTGCTCTTGGCTCATCCCTGCTCTGCCTTGGCAAGCAAGGCCGAGGCCACAATGAGGAGGAACAGGAGCAGCTGGCGATGGATGATGATGAGAAGGTGGACTCACTAAGGGAGGGAACCCATTGTCTTGCCCAAGAGTCCTCCAAAACCTGGAGCTGGCAGTGGGTTGCAGAAGAGTGTTGTTTTTTTTTTAAAGTCACTTACCCACACACTGCATCCTATCAGAGGGCGAGAGAAGCATATCTATAATCAGGTTGTATCCTATCTGTTCAGCCATGAATTTTTGCTGTTTCAAGGTTTGCCCTGCCAGGGCCCAGAGTGTCACAGCACCTTGTTCCTTTACTTTCAGGTGAAAAGCCTGCAAATTGGACAAACAATGTTTGCTAGCTGTACTTCATGGACTATATGCCCAAGCAATACAAGTGACATCCTTACTAGTGAGCAAGTCCCTCTGGACTCTACGGAACTGGCTTGTCAGTAAACATTGAGGATCAAACTTGGAAGATCTTCAGCAATGCCACATAACAGCCTGCTCTATTATTATGCACATGTGAAACCAAACCCAAAGAAGATGAAACAAATACTTGCCTTCAGGAGCTTTAAAAGGAATTTTGTGATGGACTTGGCTAGAAATCTCATCTGGATGTAAGTGTTCCTTTCGCAGAGTGCCTCAATCGCCATTGCACCTTTCACCTGGACACTTATCTTCCTTCCTCTAAGAAGTTCAACTAGTGGGCCAATGACTTCTGCCTCAGTTATGGCGTTCTGCATCTCCATATTCCCACGAGCAAGTTCCGCAATTGCTGCTGAAGCTACTGCCAGTAGCACATCTTTAGGCAGAATTTTAAAAAACCAGCCATGTTCATCATCATTATCAGTAGCTATTATTCTCTGTTTTATTTACAAATTTGTTTTAATTAAGTTACTCATTAGGTTAAGAATAGCTACCAGGAGAGGTTGTGTGCTCTTCCACACTAGAGATGTTCAAGAAGAAGCTATACAGTTATCTGAGTGGGATGGTATATCTGGCATCAAGCAGCAGCTTGGACTTGATGGCCTTCTTGGCCCCTTCCGACCCAACTATTCTGTGATTCTACGTATCCTCTATTTACAGGCTGCTGAGTTGAGTGCTTGCTTGCTGGCAGCCTTAAATGCATCTTGGAAGAGTCATTTGTTACTATATCTATAGAGTTTTGAAAATAATCCTTTAATTCCTTAATATGATCTCCCCAATATGTATCAACAGAGTATTTAAATACAATGATATTATATTATGCTGGATCTGTCTTTTATACCTTGCCAAGGCCATGATTTGAAAGCTGTATATTCCCTTTATCCATAGAAATGTCTTCCTCAAAAAACATCTGGAACATACAGTATATCACAGAAGTGAGTACACCCCTCACATTTTGTAAATATTTTATTATATCTTTTCATGAGACAATCCTGGAGAAATGACACTTTGCTACAATGTAAAGTAGTGAGTATGCAGCTTGTGTAACAGTGTAAATTTGCTGTCCCTCAAAATAACTCAACACACAGCCATCAATGTCTAAACTTCTGTGATATACTGTAAATATATAATCTATCCTACAGTGAGAATTGTGATGATGTGAATAAAAGTATAACTCATATCTCTATTTCCTAATACAGTGGTACCTTGACTCACAAACTTAATCCATTCCAGGACTCTGGTCATGACCCAAATTGGTCATGGGTCAAGTTAAATTTCCCCATAAGGTTCTTGTAAATAAGGTTAATCCATTCTGTAACTGTTTTTTTTTTAATCAGAAAAATGTGAAGCAAAGTGACAATAAAGATTGCGGCCATCCCCCCCCACCCCGAGCACAAGTGTGGCCATCTCCCCACCCTCCCAGCACGACCGAGATTGCGCCTGTCATCCCTGCATGCACCCATCATCCCGGTGCACTGGGGTGGGGAGAGACGGGCACAAACGGAACACAATGGGGGAGGGAGAGACGAATGCGAACGGGACACGCTGGGGGAGGGAGAGACAGGCGCAATCTTGGCCATCTCCCCCTTCCCCAGCCGGCACAACTGCCACTTGGGGGAGTAGGGAGATGGCTGCGATTGTGCCAGTTGGGGGAAGGGGAGATGGCCAAGATCGCGTCTGTCTTTCCTGCAGGAGCATGCCGTGCTCATGCACGTCTTCCCTACACGAACACAACTGCGATCGTGGCCATCTCCCCACTCAGGGGCGGCGGGGAGATGGCTGTGATCTTCGTTGCCACCTAATGCAGAGTTCTCAACCCAAGTCAAAATTTTCATGAAATTTTTGTTCGCAACCCGATTTGGGCATGAACCAAGGCGTTCATGAGCTGAGGTACCACTGTACTTTAATGCACCCATACCCATCTTCTTAATATCATAAGAATGATATTACAACCTTGGTATTTTTCTAATAAAGGATCTATTACTGTACTGTTATCATGCAATAATAATTCTTTTCCAGTGCAGTCACTAGAAGATCAGAAGCTTCTGTTTTAGATTGACCACTGCTTAGCATGCTGAGTTTCAAATTGTGCTTAATCTTAATCCTTGGTTAGTTAATTCAAGTTAGCTTCAAAAACTGTGGTTTGAAGTTGGTCTATTTCAATTAACCAGAATTAAGTTAACCAGTTTGTCCATGTTCTGATGACATAATAAGCTTCAATTGATCTAGAACAGAAATGAAAGCTTATCTAGTTATACCAGAAGAGGATGTGGGAAAGGGGAGTGCACAACCCCAAGGCTTACTGAGTTGTGTTGTTAACACTATTAAACTATGATCTAGCACAACAGTGCAGAACCTCAGGGCTGAGGAGTAGAATCTGGCCCTGTGAAGGCCATCAGGTCATCATATGCTATTTCCCTGGACCCAGCCCTTTTTCCTACCTCACCATCATTTCATGGCTTTCCAGCCTTTGTGCAGGTTTTTCCCAGGATTCTAAATTCTGCTTCCAAGGCAGCAGTAAGAACAGCTAAAGTATGCTGGCATTTCTCTTGAACCTGCCTGACTACTGGGGAAGAGTGCTGGATAGAACAGCGCACTCTTAGCATTGCAGAACCTTTTCTGCAACTGCTTGATTCAAACCAGGGTATCCAATGTGTAGCCATGTAACTCAGTTCAATTACTGGTTTTTCGGTGCCAGGTAAAGACCTTTTTATTTAAACATCATTTTAATTGTTAAAATATATGATCTGGCCAGGGCAACTTTCTTCTTCCTTCTCTTTTCTCCTCCTATATTATTTATTTACTTATTTTATACTGATAATTTTAATTTTATATTATTATGTTTGTAACTCAGTGTATTTTTTGTATTTTTGTATTTAATGGTAATTTATTATCTTATATTGTATTTCAATGTATTTTATTGTGTTGTAAGCCGCCCCGAGGCTTCGGCAAGGGGCGGCATATAAATGTTATAATAATAATAATAATAATAATAGTAATAATAGTAATAATAATAATAAACTGTACAAAATGAATCTCTGCAAAACAAGCAAAATATCTATACTGATTGCCATGCTCAGTTATAACTTCATAAAAAGCCAATGGCTTTCAGTAAAGGCCCCCTCTATTATTTTTACCTGACTCTGAGTGTAAGAAATGAACTATGGGTTCAATGCCCATGGCTTCTTTCACTTTCAGTTGATTTTCACTGTTATTAATGCATAATACTCGGATACAGTTGATGACATTCACTAGCAGATCTTCTATGTTGTGCTGTAATAGATCAATCAGAGCAGGAATGCCACCCTATGGAAAGCAAATATATATTTATGAGTACTTTGTGGGGGTTTGGGGGGGGTGTTACTTATGCAGTGACAAACAGCTGACAGTAAGTCTGATTCAGCAAAAGTCTTCGGCAAGGGGCGGCATAGAAATGTTCTAATAATAATAATAATAATAATAACAACAACAACAACAACAACCTTGAAAAAAAAAGTCTCCTGCTAAAGGGCTTTTCCGTTAACAAAAGGTTTGTCAGGCAGTGAAGACTTCCTGTTGGCTGAAGTGGGGCATGAGAACATCAAGAACAGTTTAATAAATCACAATTCAGATCAAACCACCAACTAGAAGACACATCACAGCGGGACAGTAATGATCAGTTAGGTAGCTAGTTGCATTTACTCATCAGAGTGACACTTTCTTTCTCCACCAAAGAAATAAGTGAGTCAAAAGTACAAAAAAGCTTATTTCCAACATGGAAATCAGCTCACAGCTCCCAACTCATCATCTGTACCATACTTTGCCTATACTATGAAAATTCTTGAAAGTCAGCTTCACTGGCCAACTGATGAGGCAGGTATACTTACAAGTTTATTTTATTTATTTATTTATTTATTTAGAGCATTTGTACATTTGTACACTACCCAAGTGTGCCACAGCACCTCTGGGCAGCTTACAAACGTGAGATAAAAACACCATAAAAACATAATAAAACCAATAACACATTAAAAGCAACAATAAAATACAGCAAAGCATACAAAACAAAGGTCTGTGACAATTAGTTATTAAAATGTTTTTTTTTTAAAGGAAGGTCTATGCTTGGTGCCAAAAGAAAGTAGGGAAGGCACCCGGCAAATCTCCCTGGGGAGAGCATTCCTTGTTTAGAATGGAGTTCTGTCCACACACTATCCTTTCCATTAGCTGTACAAGGCATGGGGTCTTTTTGTCTTTTAAAAATTAGAAAGTACTAAATATGAATGGGAAAGATACATATTTGCTCCCTTGCCATTTAAGCTTTTGGACTTAGGACCTTGAACTGCAGTTAAAGAATCTGTAGCGGTTCTTTCATGTAAACTTTCGAGTATTGTTTGTATTTTAAGTGTGTCCAGCTGGTATAAGTATAAAGAACTAAAGAGTATGCATGGTCAGGTCAAACGCACGTCATAACTCCAGCAAAAAATCTCATACTCCTCAAGCAGATAGGAGATTAGGACACACATTACACTGGGGTAGCAACCCAGACATCCCCCCAATTAGGACACCCCCTAGAGGTTATGTGGGGGGAAAATCAGGAAAGGAAATGTTCTTCAGGTAGCACTTGGATTTCAATTCTCCTGTGAAATCATAAGTAGATGCAGCAAATTAACAACCTTATGGAAGCCTAAATCTGGCATGGGGGTTTGAAGTGGCCAAGGATCATTGTTATTACCACTAATATTAGCTACAATTAAGAGTAGTTTATTTAAAAATGTATACCATTCACTCAGCTGTGCTTGGTCTCTGAACGATTTACACACAATAAAAGGCAGACATTGTCCAGTGACTGCTATTGCACTGTGCTTGTCAAATGAGGGCACAAGGGAGGATGAATTCACTCCAGAGGAGAATGCAGGAAAAGAAAGAGACACAGAGGGGAGAATATACTTTCTTATGTCTGACTCCTGTTGCATATTTACCACTCTTGAGACAGAAGACAAGTACGAGCTTTGAACAGGACTATTATTTAATATTAACAGACAAGTTCTTGTTACAACTAAAGAAGGGCACAAGTAAGCCAAAATGAAACTAAAACCAGCACCCAACTCCCTACCTGTATTAATCATGTAGGGTGCAGTCCCGTGTATGTTTAGGGTAAAAAAAAGTCCTAAATCCCAGCCAGCTTTTTTCTGCCTAAGCAAGTATAGGATTGTGCCTTCAGTGGCTTTTCAACCAGTTATTTTCCCCTCCGCTGAGTGGATTTAACTAATGGCGGTGACTTGTGCCAGTTTGGCTCCCACCCTGTTGATCGGGGCCAGCAGAGCATGGGCTGAATGCCTACAGAGTGCTTGGGGCTGTATGGAGCACCAAAGCCCATGCGCAATGGAACCTGCCCCGCAGCAAAACAGTTCTCTGCCTCATCCTATGAATGCACACCCATTTCCTTTTTTATTTGCCTCACTTTTTAAAGTGGGAGGAGAAGGGAGCTTGAAAAAGAGCAGAATTCTCAGGATTAGACTTGCCTGTTCAGCAATTATGGTCTGATTATCATCCAGCTGGGCAATATCGTACAGAAGAACAGCGCAGCGAGACAAGAGCTCAGGTTCCTCCACACTCAATAGCTTAATCAGGACTGAAATGCCTCCAGCCTGGACAAAGGCTCTCGCAATCGAGTCATGGGTGGAGATGTTGCTCAGCACCCCCATGGTGAGACACTCCAGCGGGATGTTTTTGCTTTCTAGCAGCTTGATTAGCGAAGGTATAGTACCTGCAATGCAGCACAAAACAAGCGGCCTGTTGCCATTTCTTCTGCAAGCACCACATTCTGTGGGTTGCTTCAAGTTTCTCACTCACTTAGAAGGCCACAGGAGGGAGTGGGGAGAGCAAGGGGGCCACAGATAAGGCCAAGGGGTTGAAGGAGTTTGTCAAATGCACCTTTAAACTGAGCAAAACAAAAAGGCGCATTCTTAATATGATCTATGTTGACATTAAGTGATGTACAATAAAGTATATGAAAACCTGCAGCATAAAGAATGCCAAATGAAAATATCCTTCACGCATAGTCTGCTTACCTGCTTCCAAAATGCAGTGCCAATAATTCTCTTTGGCGAGACACAGTACTTCTAAACATCGAACTGCCATCTCTTTCCTTTTAGAGGACTCACAATCCAACATACCTGTTAAGAATTTAAAAAATTCTCTGAAGACACTGGTGGGTTGTCCCAAAATATTATACTGCAGTGTGTGTGTGTGTGTGTTGCAATAACTCCAGTTCACAGTGCATTTGTTCACTCTGACTGGCAAATTAAATGAGGAACAAAAGATAGCAAATGTATGCAGTTCCCTTAATGATTATCCGTAAAATAAGTTTTGGACATTTACATTTCGTGCGCATCAAATAATGTATTTCAAGCTGTCTGAAGCAGCATAGAACAGATGTGTATCTGTTATCTATTCTAGAGTCCTATTACCTGGACACTATGGGCAGGTTTGCACATCATGATAGCCCACCCTACAAATACGGGGTGCACTGTTTGTGGAAAACCAATGGTGCGCCCATCAACATTGGGTTCACTGGTGCTTGCCCCCCTTTCCTGCTCAGTCCTTCCATGGGAGTCGTAGGGGTCTCCATAGCAGGATGCACCATGTCTACCCTCCCTGCTCCAAACACAAGCCCTTTTGTGCTCTCCATGGCTTTTTTTTTAAACCCTCCCCCCTTTTTTTTTCCAAGATTGCTTTTCTTGATCTCCAGGTAAACGGCTAGTGACAGCAACTTCAAAGCACCCAAGGGGCAGACTGGAGAGGCTGTCACCAGTTTGTCACCTTCTTGTTAAGGCTATGGTTAGCGCAAGAAATTGGCACGCATTCTCCTGTTCAAATTTAAAAATGTGTTAGTTGGACTTGTGCAGATGTGTACCGACACAAGTCTGAAATGGCGAGCCTTTCACTGGGGCAGTGTTGTGAAAGGAACCTTCTGCCTAAGCGCAACATCAAGGGCCTTGGCCAAAAAAGCTCTATTTTGGTTTCTCTTGACATCTGTCAATAGGTGAGCTGTCAAAAGAAACCAAAGCTGTTTATGATCTTTGCTCACAAACGGGGGTGTTCCTAGATCCCATATCCTTTCACAAGGCCTTCCGTTCTCAGAAGCATAGATTAGAAAAAGAATAGCCACAAAATGGCAAACTGAATCAGGTGACCAACAGGCCCAAGTGAAGGAAAAAGAAGTAAAGACAAAACCGAAGAGGGAGTGTGAAAGCTTCAAATAATCCACAAATTCAGTTCGAAAAACACAGATCTGCCCCTGTATTGCCTTGTAGAGCAGTACCATTCAGAACTTTCTGTTTACTCACTGTGTGTATTTACTCCAGTAACTCACTCCCAGGAGACAGCCTTGCTACAAAGCTCACCTACTTTGATCACTCCCAGTGTTTGCTCCCAAATAGTGAAACATGCACAAATCTCTCCCTTTCAGACTTTTCTAAGAATCACCAAGATGCATGTTAAATATTTGTTATGTTTCAGCTTTTGGACAGCCTAGAAGTCCTTAACTAATCTGGGGAGAATGTTCTGAGAGTCTGTTTTGCAGAAATGTATCTAAATTTCCCCTTTTCAGACATTTCTAGTAATCCTGGCATTTTCACTACTCATGTATCAACTTCCTGGTATTTAGCTCATGGGGGAAGTATACTAACAATTTCAACAGGGTATCAGTTAGCTGCGACCTACTCATGCAGCAGAATGAGGTGGTAACATGTGGATATGGTAGGATGGACTCCACCACTTCAAAGTACTGTGGGGGAATTTTTTAAAAATGTCTTCCTATAAGAAAGCAAAAATATCTCCAATTCTGTTTGGAAAGATGAGGGAAAGAGAGAGGGAAAATAAGGAATGGCTTCAAAGTGGCTTCCCAGCCACCCATCTTAAGTGTTACAGCCCATTCGACCACCACAGCACTCTGTCATTCCCACCTCATTCTGCTACAGGTGTAAATCAGGTCTCAGTGAGGCCTATTTCTGTATATTTTATACTAATCACATTATAGTTTACCAATCCACTTGGAAGCATCCGAGACCATGTTTTTGCAAGTTTTGGTTCTCTTATATTACTTATTTCCTTAGCAAAGGGTCACATGAATACGTAAAGCACCAAGGACACAGTCCAGTATTTAATTTATGTGCTTGGCCTCATTTTTCATGGCCTTACAAATGCACTTGCAAGTATCACAAGTGCTGCCTAGAACCAGGTGAGAACTCATAAATTTCACCCCGAGTCCTCTGTCTTTAACTGGAAGGGTTCTGTTCCTCCCCATCCCTCACCCTGATCAGTGGCATAGTCCTCTGAATGCTCTGCCCCCTCTGAGTTTAGCCACACTCTGCACAGTAGCTGGGAGAGAGATGGATTTTCTCAACCATGTTGTATGGTTCCCAGTTGTCATACCAAGTATTTTGGGCTGCTTTGCTCTTGAGTGTACAATTAAGATTCAGTGGCCCTACCAAGATCTGTTCTGTGTGGACATAAAAGCACAGCACAATTGTTGGACTCTCCTTGTGGGTGTGGAGATGGTCATTTGTGTCTGTGGCTATGGGGTGCAGCTTTGGGAAAAGTGAGTTCCAAATCTACCCTGGCACGCTGTGTCTGATCGATAATGAGGGGGCTAATAAAGTGGCTGGCCTGTCAGGGTTTTTCCTCCTTGGCCTGCACTGTCCTGCACTGCCACCAAGTGTTAACTCAGGATTTCTTCTGAATGATGCTGCGGTTGGGGCAGGAGGTGCTTTTCCACTGCTTTCTCCAGCTTCTGCCACTCTCTGCACACCAGCACTGTCTCCGCACCTTGCTCCCAGAGAAGACCATGTCAAAAGAGGTCCTTTGTCATCACAGGGGAGCCTCTTTGGGGGAATATGAATATGACTTACGAAGTTTGGGATGCACTCTTCTGGATTAAAAACACGATGAATCAGAGAACAGCCTTTTAAGGAAACAGAATTCATATGCTCACCCACAAGTGTTTTCCAAACTGGGAGATCTGGATTATGTAACTCAATGAGATACTTCAGAACTTCAGTGTGAAAGTTCAGCACTGCCAAATGAATGATATTATTTCCTTCACCGTCCTTTTTCAGCCAGTCGGCTTTAAGAGAAAACAAGTACTGGATGGTATCCAATGCCCCAGATGTAGCAGCAAGCAAAAGTGGGGTGGAGTGATACCTGTAGGAGAAAGGGTGCAAAGTAAGGCAATGTAAGAACAAAAACAAAAAAACCTTAGTATGTTTCATCTATTAACTTTTGCAAGCTACAGAAGCCTAAATTAAACTTACAGGCTACTGATGAAGTCTACTCACCACTGAATTAAAGGAATGAATGCCTTCCTGCATTTGTACAGGATTGCATACTTCACTTAAAACTACTGATTGCTCTAATGGATTGGATGATTGACTGGCAGGGACCCCAGGGCTTCAACCTGGAGAGGGGGTCATGGCTTGGTGGCAGAGCCCCTGCTTTGCATGCAGAAGGTCCCGGGTTTGATCCCTGACATCCTGCCTGAAACCCCGGAGAGCTGCCACTGCCAGTGTCAGCATAACTGGGTTATACTGGTTAATGGTCTGACACAGTGTAAGGCAGCTTCCTATGTTCTTGAACATAGTGAATTGTCATAGCCCACATATATGCAAGCCTTGCAGCCTCCTTCAGGCTCAGAAAGGCTCATTGCAACATATCAGACCCTTCAACAAGTAGGAAATTACCTTGTTTTTCTTGTCAGACTGTTGATCAGAATGGTGAACACGGACTGACAGAGGCTCTCCAGGAGTCCTGAATACAGGCATTCCTACCTGGGGATTCCAGGGATTGAATGTGGGACCTTTTGTCTGCAGCTGTGCTTTACTGCGGTGCTACATCTCATCCCCTGGACATAATATTTGAAAGCCTGAAACTGGCAGACAGCAGGAGGTCAGGCTTGGTCTGAGCAAAAAGAGCCTGGCCTTCTAGCCTAGCCCCTCAGATTTTAACTTCTCCTACCTTTGGGCATGCTGAGCCGCCAAATATGTTAAGGTAGAAGTTCTTTGTTAGCAGAGTGCACACACAAGATTGCCGTGTGGCCCTTCAGTCCCAAGGGTGGCAGCGTCCCAGTTTCAGGGGACAAATGACTCTGGCAGAGGCTGTAGTTTGGTTTAAAAGTCTTACATGATCTCTTAGGAAAGGTACACTTGGACTGGAAAATCCATCACTTAATTCCATCTGTAAAGTTGTGTGCTTTAGGGGAAGTACTGGGGGAAAGGAGTAGCATCCCTACAGAAGCAGCTCAGGCAGGCAACCAGAAGTAAGAGTGACTACAGAACAACTTCCTAAAAGTAGCAGGCTACAAAAGAGAGGCAGATCTGGGATCTAGTGGTCCAGAAGAAGGAAAGCAGGTATCCCTCTCTATTCTCCTTCCAGTGTCCCTAGGAGTCATGTGAGTGAGATAAGTATAAAGAGACAATGCCAAAGTCCTGCTTCCGACAAAAGTCACCTCTGGTTTTCAGCCTGGCATGGCAGCCCACAGCTGAAGACCTGGTGGAGACCTGAATCCTTTGCTCATGTTCCTCGTCATACATTCAATCAACACATGAATTCCTTTGTGCATTACAGGCGTGAAGGGAGTCCATGCATCAAAAGAAGGCAGCTGCAGCCACAGTGCTGTCCCTGCCCATATGTTATAGGGCTTCCTAGACAGTCTTCCTCCTACTTACTCAGATCGTGTTTCAACTTCTATCAACTCTGTGTTTTTTCGGTAGAGAATTATGAGGCAGGCAACATTGTCGTAGAAGGCCGCAAAATGTATAGGCATCCATCCTCGTTCATCGGGCAGTCGGTAGTCTGCCTTTAAGGCCAGGAGGAAATGAAGTGCTTCCAGGGAACCACACTGAGCGGCGAGATGCAAGGCAGTGGGGCCAAAAGCTGAGGGGCAACCAGGGGCAATGGTTAGCTAAATCTGCAAAATCTCAGACCAATCCTCCACCTCATTCATTCATTCACTATATTTATATTTTGCCTTTTTCCTTTCAAGGAACTCAAGGTGGCTTACATAATCCTCTTTCTCCTCTCAATCCTATCCTCACAACAGGAACTCTGTGAGGTAGGTTGGGATGAGAGTCTTTGACTGGCCCAAAGCCCAAACTCCCTGGTTGAGTGGGGACTAGAACCCGGTTCTCCTGAGTCCCAGTCCTGTCCGGCACTCATAACCACACTGAGGTTGTGTTATACCATCGTTCTTTCTATATCATCCCTTTCACAGAATTAACATTTATACTACTTCTTCAAAAGTGTATATTTTTCTGTTGTGGCCTTTGATACTAGAAGGCCTTCCAGCTTCAGGAAGAAGGAATTGTGAAGATTAAAAATTGCGTACTTTTTTGCATTAAAGAAGGGAAAACTCTCTCATAGGTATGGATGGCACACTAATATAATTAATGCAGTTTTATAAGCCATTCCATTAAATTGTTCAGAAAGAAATCCATACTCGTGCACAAGACCCATGACATTTATATAGTTTACTGTTACAGAGATGGATTCCTCTGCCTCCGGAAGCCATATCTATATAATATCTGTGGGCAAGCTCCAGCCAAAGCTTTCATCAGCACTTTTACATGTGGCTGTTGTGGATTTGCTCAGATACCCAATTTGTATGTAGTGGAAGGTAAGGGCAGAGAGGTGGCCTCATTAAGAGTCATCAGACAGAGTCCCAACTAAGCTTCTTAGAAACTAGTAGAAAAAAATGAGTTGCAGCTACCTTAAGTCTCAGTGCTTTAAAAGTCATGATGAACTTTATCTGGATTCAGGTGACATATTTTCAAGACCTTTAGAGTGCAAT